ATTTATAAAACACATCAGGAACCAAACTATCATCTGGTAAAGAGAAAGAGGTATAGTCACTTGCATGCTGGGTAGTAACAGAGGTTTGGTTGTGTGCAGAAGAGGAATAATAGTTTTTATTAACTCTATTACGCAAGTATGGAAAGCATACCAGAATCACAAAATTCTTTAAAATTAAGAAAAAATAAATGTCTCTTTTTGTAATTAAGGGAGAGGGCCCCCACTCTGCACTGATATTGCATTCTGAATTGGGGTTCTATGGCTGCTTTTACTTTTTAAAAACAAAACAAAACACTATTTTATTTTTATTTTTATTTTAAAAAAAACAGATTTGCATATAATTTAACAGATTATTTCTTTATCCTTCTCATTCTCCCCCACCCCACCTCTGAAAGATAAAGGCTCGTCTATTTATGTACAAAGCAAAGGTGACTTGAACTCTGTATTATATTTTGGGGGTGGGGAGCTGCCCCTATCACACATGCAATCTCTTTTCTGGCATGAAGCTGCAAACAGAACTAGAAAGCAACCCACCTAACTTGGCAGGCTGGGTTTCTCCTCTCCCACTCCTTGGCTGGCAGTGCTACTTACTGTGAACAATGGCAAACGAAATGTTTTGAGTCTCATCACCATGACAATTGACAGTTTTTGGGTTTGGACAAGCTTTTGAGCCAGAATAATGACAGGCCTCACACTTTCACCCATTCTCTTCATTAAGATGATACACTGCCAAAAGCAATGACTACAGTTAACACATGGATTCAACCCATATACAGTGCCAGATTTACGTAGAAGCTAAACAAGTTATACTTCTTGGGGGCCCCCCAAAAAAATGAAAGGAAAAAAACCTGGATTTACATTTCCAAAATATAAGATAAAAAACAAATAAAATAAAACCTACACATAGCAACAGTGTTTTGTGTTGCATAGGCTCCTATTTGTTATGTGCAAATGGCTTTAGATACCTATTAGGTCCATAAATTACCATTTGTGTGTTCAGACCCAGAGACCTCCCCCCTAAATAAATTCACACTTGACTCAAATTTTGGTTTTGGTTTTTGGCAGAATTTAGGCCACAACTTCACTGGCCTGCAAATGGAGGACAGTGCAGTCTGTATTTTTTCCAAAATGGCAGCCTAGAGTGTGCTAAAAGGCCTGAAAGTGAAGCACCATCTACCTCCTGTGCTTCTGACCAGTCAGACATTGTAGCAGTCCAAATCACGGCTCCCTGAAGATCTGATGTGATTTGTAATTGCTCACATACACCAAAAGCATTGGCCCTCCTGTCCTTGGGTTCTGACAAGGCCTTTGCTTATTATCCCTGAAGTTTTCTGAAAATACCAAATGGGAGAAAAGTTCATACCGAAAAAACTATGCTGTGGTCTGCACTCACTCATATGTCGTTATTATGATTATTTTGCTATTGGGTTGTCTGTCAGTATGCTTTTTACTATTTTTTTTATCACTAATGTTTTGTAATTTATTTCTAATCTTGTACATGGCCCTGGGATCTTTTGATAAAGGGTGGTATACAAATTGGAATAATAATAATAATAATAATAATAATAATAATAATAATAATAAACAACTGACAGTTACGGGGGTTCTTTGCTACACTGTGACAACTTCTAAATGCTATGTAAAGTGAGTCTAAACAGCAAAACATCTTCACATCTGGACAAAGAAAATGCAGGGGTGTGTTACAGCACCATGTTCATAGGAGCCAATTCCTAGGGCCCGAGGGGGCATCACCCCACCCAATAAAGTTGATGGGCATTGAGTCATGTGAGATTATGTGGAGCAGGGATTATCTGGGCCCCCACAATAGATACCTTGAAGATAGCAAGCCCATTATATGTTAGCAGACTCAACAGGGTCTTTTAGGCAGAATCGCAGGCCTGGTTCACATATACACTCACTCACTCACTCACTCACTCACAAAAACATCTTGTATCATCTCTAGTTATTTGATTGTTCAGCATTTAATGACTCAACTGAATGCATGAAAGGTGGAAAAAAGCACTCTCCCCCTTCTCTATGTGATTCCCAGGATATGGGAGTCCTAAGGTTGTATTCTCATTTTTAGAAGACACACATTGAAGGGCCTAAGCTTAAAAAGTCAGTTCTATATCAAAATTATATATTGTTTAAATATATAATACTAACATTAAACAAAGAAAAATCCTCCTAGACATCTGTGATGCTGCCACTCTCCCTCTCTCTCATTGTCCAAACACCAAAGTTCACTTCTTTCACACTGCCTTTGGCTTTCAGAACCATCACTAGTGGAAAAAAAAGCAAAGGACATATAGTTGTGTTAGGGTATATTCCAGCCCCTAAACTCCACAAGCTTTTCTGGTTAATGATCTCCCCTACCCCTGCACTTAACTATTACCAACTTATTTTAAAGAGCAAGTGACCATATTCTTTATGCCAAGTGGATTTAATGGGGCCGAGGACATCTAGCACTCGAGTCACTGTGCATTTTATTACTGTACCACAAAGGAAACTGTGGAAAGATACCCTTCTCCCCTATCACAAAATTTCATGCGGCTGACTCTCAGGAAAATCTGGCAAACTTGCCTGGGCTTCTGGAAATTTAATCCTATTTCAGCGCTGAGCTTTGAATTCTAGTGTAACCTGATGGCACTCATTTTCCCACATCCAGGGTGGTGAAATTGAGGTTGGCACAGCTTAGAAGAGACGTGTCTTTGGAGTTCTTGGGAGGGGGAAGAGATTTAATTTGTTTTCCACACTGTGCTTTAAATTATGGTATAGTGCTATTAGAATTCTAGCAATTTGTGACACTGTGCTGAACCTGTTGTTCCTGGGTGTTGGCAAAGTGCTCCTATACTTTCCTCCAATTAAGGCTGTTCATGCATCAGTTCCCTCTCTTACTCCTTCCTGGCACTTCAGCTTTCTAGAATGATGAAAACCAGGCACAGGCAAACTCGGCTCTCCAGAGGTTTTGGGACTACAATTCCCATTATCCCTGACCACTGGTCCTGTTAGCTATGGATGGTGTGAGTTGTGGTCCCAAAACATGTGGAGGGCCGAGTTTGCCTATGCCTGATGAAGAAAACTCCTGATCACCTGAATAATAAATAAATAAATAAGGGGAAAAACATGCATCCAACCCCTGAGACCATTCCATTGTAACTATCCGACCTCCCAAAATTTCAACACCTCTTGCGATGGTTTACCCCTTTCCATTTCAACAGTACAAATTCTACAAACACCTTCCATATCTCCTCAAAATTATTTCTCCTGCATATTCCCCTTACCTTACCTTTACAAAATAGAAAAACCCCTGCAATTATTTTTCCTGTCACACTGTATCACTATATTTCGTCCTTACTCTCTTGATCTTCTTTCTCACACTGTGCTTCCCCCCTTATCTGTTGTTTTGATTTCTTATTTCCTGTTTTCTCCCATTGACTGTAGTGTATTCACAAAGATTCCCAGGCTATGGGAAAAGAGAAAATGAAATAAGAAAGCTTTTAATCCCAACTTTTCCATTTTTTCTTTTTTTAACTCAAACAAAGGTTTTCAATGTCTCCTTTTCCATTCCCCAAAACCATCTCTCTCAACAGTGTGTCTCTTTCTTCAGCCTCTTCAAAAGGCCCTTCTATTATCCACTTATATATGTTCATTAAAAAAAGCAAATATAAAAAAAACAAAATAAAGGTTTAGGGTCTTTCAAACCAAGTCTCCTTTCCCCCTTCCTTCATCTTCTTCCAAAAGCTCACCCATTAACTGGTATATAAAGAATAGAAAATTATATCGCCTGCAGTCTATATCTAGTCTCTGTCAGATCCAAATAAATAAATAAATAAGAACAAAGGAAATTAAAGGAACAAAGGAAATAAAAAACAATCCTTAATTTAAAAACCAGCAGATTTTGCTTATTTGGGATATAAAGGGAGAATGCAAACTGCAGAAAAATTCCTGTGGCTGAGCTATGGCCATCAAAGAACAATAGATGGCAATTGAGGGACACGAACAATGCAACTCCTTCCCTCTGCCCTGAGACTAGGGATTTGGAAGGTTGCCAGGGTAACTACCCCTGGAACAAGGGTGACTGGAGGAAGAAGGAGGAAGAAGAGTTGAGATCCTCCATGAGCAGCTGCTAGAAGGCCGCCCACACTGCTGTGGGGTACAATCCCCTCTTAAAAAGCCCATGCTTCACATGAAGGTCTAAATAGGCGAATATACCATATTTCTTAAAGCCACAACATTTGCTGATATGTCTCAGTTATCCAAAGGAGCACAAACCTTGTGAGAGTGCCTGGAACGCCCTGGGCTCTTGCCACCCAACTTTTGTAACTGTTGGGTGTAGTGAAGGGTTAACCTTCTGTGCCTCAAGCCTGAGAGGAGGCGCGTACAAGGGAAGTACGCCAGGACGTGACGAAAGCAGCTTGGAATGCTGTGAGCTGAGTGAAAAGCGAAAGCAGTTTGTTGCGTCGCTGCACTGAGAGCAGGACGCAGAGAAAATGCAGCTTGAATCTGATGGCTGTTATGGATTGTAAATACACTACTTTCGTGCAAATAAAGGGATATTAGGACAGAAGAAACGTGTGGGACTTGTTTACTGCCCTTTTTCGACACACTGGTGCTGTGTAATTCTGCTAATTGCTTTACGACCGCTCGAAAGCCACACTGCGTAAACAGAAGCTACAGAGGCTCGCAGGGGAAGCGTGGCTGGGCGCCGAACAATAAAGCAATAAATCTACTGAACAGTAACAATACCCATTTCTTCCCTCTGCAAAGACTGCCCTTCACCACCATCCCCAACACCACCAAAGACCCTTTATTTGGTGAATTCTTCATGTGCCCCCTCCATGAGAGGTCCAGAGGGCTTCAACATGAGAAAAGGAACTTATTCTTTATTTGACAAATACAGACACAGAACACAGTTTTATTTGCGACACCAATTTATTGTGGTCATGATCAAGAGAAGTTTAACCATACATTATAATATCATGAGGAAAAGTCCCCAAGCCCCACTTTTCTACTTTAGCTTATCCATCCCTGCATCCCATTCATCCTACACTAAATGCCAAATAGGGGACTCTGCAGTCCTGTGAACCCCACTTTCTCTGCACTCCCAATATCAGGTAAGCAACTTCCTCCTTCACTGTGGCTGCATATCATGGATGTCAAAGGGGAAGACTTTGCTATCTTCTAATTACTCATCAAGGTTGGACTTCTTTGGTAGTATTGCAGTATGACAGCATTGTGATTGGTTGATATTACGAAAAAAGTCATCATCCGTTGATGTCCTTGCCAGCGTGCAAAAATCCCATGTGGCACAGCCTTTGAAAACCTTATCAGAACGATTAAGGCCATCTAATAAAGAGAAAAAAGCATAGTCATACAATTAATGAACTGTACTCAATGTACCAGGGTCACAGGGTGCAGGAGACAGAGAATGGGAACATTTTAATCATTATAAACTGTATTGTGCATATAGAAACATGTTAAAATCGCATCCTAATATCATACTGATGCTTAAAACCCAACCAACATGGTTATGGAATTCAAAATCCATGGCTGCTTTAAGTTTTTGGGTTTTTTTTAAGGCTCATTGAAATGCTCTCTCTCTCTCTCTCTCTCTGTGTGTGTGTGTGTATGTATATGTATGTACACACACAGAGAGAGAGAGAGAGAGAGAGAGAGAGAGAGAGACATAGTCTCATCCAGGCACCAGCAACCTGTAGCCCATGGGCCGGAAGTGGCCCACAGAGGTGGCCGTATAACTGGCCCATGAGGCACCCCAGAACTGAGCTGCCCGCTTGGTGAGTTCCTGCGCCGCACTGTGGCACAGCAAGGCACAACACGGGGACTCGCTTCCGCGGCGTTGGAAATGACACACACAGACACCAGAAATTGCATCTGTGCATGTGCAGACTCACGCAGATGCCCGAGATCACAGGTGGGCACGCTCATGTGCACCCGCTATCCAACCCACAGAGGCGGCTCCATGGAATTGATCTGGCCCAGGTAGCGTAAACCTTGCCAACACCTGCTCTCATCCATATAAGTAAAGATGGTCAAGGACCCCCAAACAGTTCAGTCCAGTCAAAGGTGACTATGGGGTTGTGGCGCTGAGGGAGATGGCATTTGTCCACAGACAACTTTCTGGGTCATGTGGCCAGCATGACTAAACCACTTCTGGCGCAACAGGACACCATGACGGAAGCCAGTGCACACAGAAATGCCATTTACCTTCCCACTGCAGCAGTACTTATTTATCTACTCGCACCGGAGTGCTTTTGAACTGCCATGATGGGAGGAGCTGGGACAGAGCAACGGGAGCTCACCCCATCACGCAGATTCCAACCACTGACCTGCCAATTGGCAAGCCCAAGAGGCTCAGTGGTTTAGACCACAGCGCCACCCACTCACATTACATGCAAAGCAAAGGCTATTGGAACGCTAATATTTTTTGGGGGGGAACTCCCCTTCCCATACACATACTATATATTTTCTGGCAGGAAGCCACAGACTGAATGAGACAGCAACCCACCCACACACCTTAGCAAACTGTGTCCACCTCCCACCTCTGATTCAATGGTTAACCGCAGTACTTACAGTTAGCCATCACAAACTCTATGCACAGATTCTCTTCACCTCTACACCTGACAGTCTCTGAGTCCTGGCAATCTTCAAAGCTGGAAGCAGAGCAGCCTGGGCACTTCAGACCATTGTAGGGTGGATACCGTGCTGCCAAAAGCAAGCGTTAGAATCAATGCATGAATCCAGACCAGATGTTTCTATTTTAATTCCTAGGCTCCAGTTGTCTAATCCTATGAGATATGTGCAGTGTTTCCACTGCATTCTGCTTCTAGAACCATTCACTGATGCAATGCAGTTGAAGAGTCTGGCAACCAGTTTATGAAGAAAAGGGAGCAATTTTAGTTGCTGCTGTCCTGAGATACACTGGAGAGACTCTACCCACACTATGGGTGAATTTCACTCTTGAGGGGAGAGGTGGACTTACTGCAGGAGGTGACAAAGAAACATCTTGGCATCAACATCTTGGCAAGATTCTTGTGGGAAGCTGAGATTTACCAGGTTTTAAGGCTAGGTGAGAAAATGAACGCTCCCAGAAGATAACTGAAGATAGTCTGTCATATGAGGAGAGAGATTAGGAGCTACTTTTGCACTTATTTTCTCTCACTCTCTTTCTCTCTTCTCTTTCATGCTGTTGATAAATAAGTGTTATGTTTAATAGTTGCATCTGAGCTGAATGGATAATAATTTTTCTTTTTTGATTGGGATGAGATGTGGAGATTATTACTGGGATGCCAAAGTGAATAAGTTGAAAGGCTTTTCTTTATGCGTTATTCGTTATTGTTGTTGTTTAGTCGTTTAGTCATGTCCGACTCTTCGCGACCCCATGGACCAGAGCACGCCAGGCACTCCTGTGTTATTTATGATGTACTATATTCCATGATGTATTATTACACATGACTTAATACTTCGAGTAGGGGACGCGGGTGGTGCTGTGGGTTAAACCACAGAGCCTAGGACTTGCCGATCCGAAGGTCGGCGGTTCAAATCCCCACGATGGGGTGAGCTCCCGTTGGTCCCTGCTCCTGCCAACCTAGCAGTTCGAAAGCACATCAAAGTGCAAGTAGATAAATAGGTACCACTCCAGCGGGAAGGTAAACGGCGTTTTCGTGCGCTGCACTAGTTCGCCAGAAGCAGCTTAGTCATGCTGGCCACATGACCTGGAAGCTGTACGCCGGCTCCCTCGGCCAGTAAAGCGAGATGAGCGCCGCAACCCCAGAGTCGGCCACGACTGGACCTAATGGTCAGGGGTCCCTTTACCTTTACCTTAATACTTCGAGTTATATATATGAACATAATGTTATGTAGGGAAGAACCAGAATCTGTTCAAGAATATTGGAGATATGAAAGGAACATTTCGTACAAAGATTACCATAATAAAGGACAAACGTGGTAAGGACCTAACAGAAGCAGAAGGCATCAAGAAGAGGTGACAAGAATACACAGAGGAATTATACCAAAAAGATATGGATGGCTCGTACACCCCAGGTAGTGTGGTTGCTGAGCTTGAGCCAGACATCCTGGAGAATGAAGTCAAATGGGCCTTAGAAAGCACTGCAAATAACAAGGCCAGTGGAAGTGATGATATTCCAGCTGAACTATTTAAAAATTTAAGAGATGATGCTGTTAAGGTGCTACACTCAATATGCCAGCAAGTTTGGAAAACTCAGCAGTGGCCAGAGGATTGGAGAAGATCAGTCTACATCCCAATCCCAAAGAAAGGCAGTGCCAAAGAATGCTCCAACTACCGCACAATTGCACTCATTTCACACGCTAGCAAGGTTATGCTTAAAATTCTACAAAGAAGGCTCAAGCAGTATGTGGACCTAGAACTCCCAGAAGTACAAGCTGGATTTAGAACAGGCAGAGGAACCAGAGACCAAATTGCAAACATGTGCTGGATTATGGAGAAATCTAGAGAGTTCCAGAAAGACATCTACTTCTGCTTCATTGACTATGCAAAAGCCTTTGACTGTGTTGACCACAGCAAACTATGGCAAGTTCTTAAAGAAATGGGAGTGCCTGATCACCTCCTCTGTTTCCTAAGAAATCTCTATGTGGGACAAGAAGCTACAGTTAGAACTGGATATGGAACAACTGATTGGTTCAAAATTGGGGAAGGAGTACGACAAGGCTGTATATTGTCTCCCTGCTTATTTAACTTATATGCAGAATTCATCATGCGAAAGGCAGGGCTGGATGAATCCCTAGCTGGAATTAAGATTGCTGGAAGAAATATCAACAACCTCAGATATGCAGATGACACAACATTGATGGCAGAAAGTGAGGAGGAATTAAAGAAGTTTTTAATGAGGGTGAAAGAGGAGAGCACAAAATATGGGTTGAAGCTCAACATCAAAAAAATGAAGATCATGGCCACTGGTCCCATCACTTCCGGGCAAATAGAAGGGGAAGAAATGGAGGCAGTGAGAGATTTTACTTTCTTGGGCTCTATGATCACTGCAGATAGTGACAGCAGCCATGAAATTAAAAGACGCCTGCTTCCTGGGAGAAAAGTAACGACAAACCTAGACAGCATCTTAAAAAGCAGAACATCACCTTGCCAACAAATGTCCGTATAGTTAAAGCTATGGTTTTCCCAGTAGTGATGAATGGAAGTGAGAGCTGGACCATAAAGAAGGCTGATCACTGATGAATTGATGCTTTTGAATTATGGTGCTGGAGGAGACTCTTGAGAGTCCCATGGACTGCAAGAAGATCAAACCTATCCATTCTTAAGGAAATCAGCCCTGAGTGCTCACTGGAAGGACAGATCATGAAGCTGAGACTCCAATATTTTGGCCACCTCATGAGAAGAGAAGACTCCCTGGAAAAGACCCTGATGTTGGGAAAGATGGAGGGCACAAGGAAAAGGGGGCGACAGAGGACGAGATGGTTGGATAGTGTTCTTGAAGCTACCAGCAGGAGTTTGACCAAACTGCAGGAGGCAATGGATGACCTAAGTGCCTGGCGTGCTCTGGTCCATGGGGTCACGAAGAGTCGGACACGACTAAACAACAACAACAACAAGGTATATTATGTTGTTTATTTGGTGCTGTGTTGTAAACTGTCCTGTGACCTATTGATGAAGGGCAGTATATAAATTTCTCAAATAAATAAATTTTGTTTTCATGTTGTATTTATTATTTTTATATACCACTCAATACAGTGGTACCTCAGGTTACATACGCTTCAGGTTACAAACTCCGCTAACCCAGAAATAGTGCTTCAGGTTAAGAACTTTGCTTCAGGATGAGAACAGAAATCAGGCTCCGGTGGCGTGGCGGCAGCAGGAGGCCCCATTAGCTAAAGTGGTGCTTCAGGTTAAGAACAGTTTCAGGTTAAGAACAGTTTCAGGTTAAGAACAAACCTCCGGAATGAATTAAGTATTTAACCTGAGGTACAACTGTACATAAAAAAGTCCCTAAGTAGTTTACAAAATCTCTCTCTCTCTCTCTCTCTCTCTCTCTCTCTCTCTGTGTGTGTGTGTGTGTGTTTGTGTGTTAAGTTAAGTCCAGTTGAATTTGCACAAAAACACTGTTTACCTTTCCATCCCAGTGGTGCCTATTTATCTACTTTTGCTGGAATGCTTTCTAACTGCTAGGTTAGCAAGAGCTGTGATAAAGCAATGGGAGCTCATTCCATCGCATGGATTTGAGCTGCTGACTCTACGATCGGCAAGTCCAAGAGGCTCAGTGGATTAGACCACAGTGCCACCCACGTCTCTCTCTCTCTCTCTCTCTCTCTCTCTCTCTCTCTCTCTGTGTGTGTGAAACTGAGTAACCACAATAAAATAAAATGCAGTTTTCAATATAACTACAATACATTGCAATAATATATTTTTTAAAAAACACAGCAACACATTTTGAAATATCTTTGGAGTCAGGGACCCCTTCCTTCATGCACTAAACACTACACACCACAGCCAAATCCTGATTTACATATGCACAAAAATTTAATATGACTCCTCCTAGTCTGTTCAGCTAATACATACAAAACACATCATCCACCCACTCATTCCAGTATATCTATCTCAGTAAGTCACCAACCACTAACCCCACTCACTCCTTCCTCTCAGGAAAAAAAAGTATGGATGGCAGCTAATGGATTGAGGTTGAATGTCAACAAGATAGAAGTACTGTTTCTGGGGGACAGAGGGTGGGCATGTATGGGGGCTCCCTGGTCCTAAATGGAGTAACTATGCCCCTGAAGGACCAGGTGCATGGCCTGGGAGTCATTTTGGACTCACAGCTGTCCATGGAGGCACAAGTTAATTCTGTGTCCAGGGCAGCTGTTTACCAGATCCATTTGTTAGGCAGGCTGAGACCCTGCCTGCCTGTGCACTGTCCTGCCAGGGGGTGCATGCTCTGGTTATCTCCCACTTGGACTACTGCAGCACACTATGTGGGGCTGCCAGATTGGTGAGTAGGAGCAGCCGCCGGAACCATATAACACTGGCTCCCGGCGCTTCCGGTTTCCTGCTATGGGAAATGGCTGCCTCCCACACCAATGGACCCTAGCCATGCCAGTAATTCAGGGGTGATATGGGAGTAATTAGCCATGGCAGACTCCCCAAGGTGGTGGAGGTCTGTCTCACAGACCCGCAGATAGTCCGTGATCTGTCAGCTTGCATGAAGGTGTGGGCAACACAAATGCTGGGTCTAAGAGCACGGTATGGCTGGCACTCTCCAGACGGAAACAAAATGGTGATGATTATTGCGCAGTTACCAAAAAAAAAAAAGGAATTCTCATGGAAAAGAACTCCTTTGGACTTGGGGTGTACTTCATTTAAAAATACATCTGCTTGTATGGATTCTTTTTATACATGAATGTGGACAGAAATTGTGGACAGAAGGACGGAGAGCACTGGGTCCCTGCCAGCTCTTCTAGGGCCTGGAGGAGCTGGAGGGGGTTCTTTTGATCTTGGAAGAATTCAAATAATTCTCACATAATATAGAGCTGGGAAGCATGCCCCATAATACAGCATTTTATACAGACATATGCAGATATCAGCTCATTAAGAGGCATCAGAGAGAATTTGTTGACTTGCCATTTATAAACTCTATTTTTGGAACAAAGCCTGTTGCCATTAATGAGAACTTGACAGTCAAAGGAGAGATAAGAGGACTGAATACCAAAATAATTGGACAGAGAAGGAGATGAATTAAAAAATGCCTGCTGTGTGTTAACAATACAAAAACTTTGCTACAGAAGATGTGAGCCACAGAAACGACTGATTAGACTGAGAATCAGGATGAATAATATTAGTTTTGAATTTGGAAAAATAGCCGAAACATGAGAGACATGAATGAGGATGAATATCTCTAGACAACTAGAACATGGGAATTCCCCAAAATTATTTATTATTGGAATATATAATTGGTGGTATTGTTATTATTGGAATATGCATTGATTTGATTTGATTTGATTTGATTTGATTTGATTTGATTTGATTTGTCATTAATTGGAAGAATGTTATTGAAAATGAATTAAAAAATTTAACACCAACACTGGCTCCTAGTATGTTTCTGGGCATAATTCAAAGTGTTGGTGCTGGCCTTTAAAGCTATAAACAGCCACAGACCAGTATACCTGAAGAAGCATTTCTACCCCAATCATTCAGCCTGGACACTGAGGTTCAGTTCCAAGGGCTTTCTCAAGGCTCCTTCACTGCAATAAATGAGGTTGTGGGGAAGCAGGCAGAGGGGCCTTCTTGGTAGTGGTGCCCACCCTGTGGAATGCTCTCCTATCAGACATCAAGGAGATAAGTAACTATACAACCTTTAGAAGACATCCGAAGACAGCTCTGTATTGGAAGGCTTTTATCATTTTATGCTTTATTATGTTTTTGTATAAGCTGGAAGCCACTAAGTTTGGCTGGGACAAGCCAGTCAGATGGGTGGGGTACAATTATATTATTATTATTATTATTATTATTATTATTATTACTACTACTACTACTACTACAAACCCAAGGAGACATTGAAACTCATCATTTATTGAAATAGCCATTCCAATTACCACCCAAAACTCACAGAGATCTACTGTTCCCAACAGCAAACAGGCGCTCTCATAAGTTGCCATCTTCCACCCAAGGATAGGGTGGAGCTGCACACATCTGCTACCTGGTTCTCAACCTTTCCACCAAGGAGTGCACTAAGACAATTCAACCCACACAAGATGAACCCTCCGCAAAAACCCTTTGCAGAGGGCACCCTCAACCCAACCCCTCAGCAGTGCTGCTTTGTAGTTTTCTGGATGGCCATTAGTACCAACAGATGGTTCCCCTCACTTCCTCCTCAGATCTGCCCAACTGGATAACACTCAGGTTAAGCACGGCTATCAGGGAACAAGGAGGACATGTGTTCTTATCTCTCTCTCAAATCCTCCAATTTATCCAGGGTGTTTTCTCCACATTCTCAGGGGTCATCTGAAGCTCTTGATCAATCAGCGGTTAACATAGGCTATCTGCTTTCTCTTTGAGAAACAGGTGGTGAGGGTGATTCTAACCATCTTCCATGCAAACTAGGAGAAGAATCTTGGTCTAGAACAGTAGCATTAGTCTATTCTATGGGTACACAAGGATGAAACCTGAAACCGAAATGACGTTCATTCTCAGGGGTATGTAGATTCAAAAGCATGCAGATATTTACCCGGTATGGTTTGGTTATTGCAGTAATCACCCTGACAGCAGTGGATTCTACGGCGGAAATATCTATCTTTTAGTGTAGTAAAGCTGTAATCCCCTGGGGTACAATCTGAAGTGCATCCCCACCTTTCTCTTTCAAATATAATATCACCTGTGAGAGAGACAAAGAAAGAAAAGGGTACAATTCAAAACCAACATTTTACAAACCAGCCCCCTAATAGTTGAAATTTATATGATGCTTCCTAATATACATATTGATGCAACAGAGAAGTCAGAGAAATGCTGCTGAGTGACAACATATTTACCCAAAAGAAAAGTCCCTAGCTTGCTGATAACATAATAAATGATGTCAGGAGGGAGCTGTAGCCCAAGAAAGGAAAAGAGGTGGTAAGGGAACACCTAGCTATTTTAAGTCAATTCCAATCTCCAGCGCCTGATGAGCTGCACCCAATGATACTAAAAGAGTTTGTAGATGTAATAAAAATACAATGAAGAATCATCTAGCATATTACACTCTTTGCTTAAAACAGGCAAGTGATTCATGGAGGGAAAGGATGGGGCCCTGTGGCTATGGACTCTCTAGTACAATTTTCAAACTATGGCATGACAGAGTTAATTCATTCAAATCAAGATGCCCCAGAAACTTTACATTCCTGTTTTATGGTAACACTACAATATTATTTGTTGTTACAGCATTGTTACAATATTTATTGCTGAGATACAGAAAAGAGAGTTGGTTTATCCTTTCTCAATATTGTTCCTACTTCCTGAAGAGCCCCAGCAGATTGTATTATTTCCTGCTCTTTCCTTTTCCCTCTACTCTTTTCATTCCCTTGATCTCACCTCAATTTGGCTCTCATAAAATGAAAAATGTTTTGCAAGTAAGCCTTTGTGGGGAGATAGACAGACAGATAAATGATAGATAAATGTTTGTTATTTTAAAAATAGATCTCTTGTGGCTTCATTTGATGTTAGAGTGTATCTGTCAGAGTTTGAGGATGTGAGCTGTCACCATATTGCTGGACTTCTTGACGAGAGCACACTCTATGGTCATTTTGCATTCATACATGCACATCATCCCCTGATAATCCAGGGCCCACACATTCAGCTTTGATTGGACTAAAAGGCTTTACACTCACCTAAATTATATCGAGTAAAATTTGAAAAGCAGCTATCCTGTCCATTATGACAGAACTCTGTCAGTTCCATTCCACCGGCAATGTAAACGATACATTCATCTGATACATCTGGGAGGAAAGAGTAGGAATCACTCAGTGCCATGAGTTTCTCATTCCTTGAGAAATGACATCTACGTACATTCATAGAGAGAAATCTGAACTTGATCTCAGCTCTTGGATTCAAACCACTATTACCAGACATGAGGAATTTTACTTATCTCAAGATCCACTTCCAATGGTGGGTCGGAGGCTGCATGTGTACACACACACACACTCACCATCTCTACCAACAGCCCAACAAATAGCTGTTGGCTGGACGGGGAGGGCCTGGAGGTTATGGGAAGAAAGGTGCGCCAGGAGAAGAAAGGTGCACCCATCCATCTCTTTTCTCTTCCAAAAACCTGTTTCAGTCTTCCCATTCTGACCCCTGCTAACACCCACCCAGATATGATTAAGGGAAACATTCCTACTCACCAGAAGAAACTAGAACGAAGAGAAAGCACATACTCAGGAAAGCCTTCATAATGCCAGCACAATCAGAAGCCAAGGAGCACTCAGAACGAACCACCAGGTGAGCTGTGGAAGAAGAAGCTGGCTTGGGGGAATTTATAGGTGAAGGAAAGGGGCCTGAGAGTTCCAGCTGGGAAGGAGTGGTGGGATATTATGGAAATACAGAGTCCATGCTGTCCCAGAAATCCTGTTTTTTAAAATTGGAACACAAAGCTCCTTTTTGATTGTGGATGCAATCATTTTTAGGACTTCTGTGGCAGACAGCCAGATGCCTCTTCCAGTCCAACCGCACCTTCATTGTTAGTCAACTGGAACTTTAAAGAAGCGAATTCTTTCCAGTCTTTCTCCAGCTCTGTTTTATCACAAGGCCTGTGGAGGAAACATATTCCCAACAAGGCACAAAGTAATCAACAATCACACACACATCTCTTTATCTTCCCAGCAATCAGGTGAACCTGGAACCTGCTTGTATCCATGGAACCACTCCTTTGCATTGTCAGTTTTGTAGCTTCTCAGTATCTTTTTAAACGTAGTCATGATGGCTACCTTCCCTCCAGTATGATAGCCAGTAAGCCTCTTAGTACCAGTTGCTGCAGATCACATGTTGAGAATGTGATGCCCAAAGGGATGCAAACACAGCACCACAGCTTTCTGGGCCTATGGATCAATTTGAAAGTGAGGAGACCCAGAGATTTGTGTGTGTCAGACACTTCCTCTCCTAACAGGGGTGGCTGTCTGAGGCTCAGAAGAGAGAGAAAATAAAAGTTTCAGATCTCTGTGGCAGGGCTGATAGGGCCGATCTTACTCAGGGCTTGCTCTACAACAATGGCTCCAGCCTCAGATGAAGTTTTTTTTGGGGGGGGGGTGTCCAGGTATAATCATACACTCTAAAGAATAGCCCCCAGAGGAAGACAAACGCCAGAGAACCATGTGGAAGAGCAACTGAAAAGAGGTTGAACAACACAACCCGAAGCTGCACAAGAGAAACACCCTACACAATAGGAATGAGCCAGTTTTCTGATTTGACTGACAAAGTGTTTAAGTGGGAAATGCTTAAGTTCAGCCCTAAGTGGGGCCATCACTTAATACTGTTCCTGGCCATCACTTAATATTCCTCCAGGGGGTTGTCTCCTGCAATGGGCAATATTCCACCTCTGTAGGGGCACCCAAATTCCACATCTAGCCCTGTAGGGACCTTCAAAATGGAGGTGCTGCAATGGGCTTTATGTGGTTGCATCTTTTGATGAACTGATTGGACAATTGTGAGTCATGCAGCTGGGGAGTGTACGTTCATGTGTTTGTTTGAATTGAACAGTGTTTAGTTTGTTAATGTTTGTTAATATTGTTTTGTGGATTATGAGTGCTGTAGTGTTTTGTGAATCTTATAATATGACCTTTGTTCTGGTTGTGCTGTTTCATGGTTTTTTTTAGTTGTTTTGTTAATAGTGTTTTAGAGAAGATTATTGCTTTTGTTATGTTTTCTAATTGTTTTACTGATCGTTGTCAATTATTTTAACTGATTAATGCTCTAATTGTGATGTTCTGATAGGTTAATGTTCTTTGTTTGTAAGCCTCTGTGTGACTCATGTGAGTGAAAAGCAGCATAGAAATAGAATAAATGAAATGAAATGAAATGAAATGTAGTTCAAAGCGTGGCTAGGCAGCCCTCAAGTTGCTGCATCTTCTCTTCCAGCACAGCAACCATTTTGCACTTGCACTTTAGCTGATGCAATAGGATGCTATTTGCGTGTTCAGACCCAGAAACCTCCCCCCTAAATAAATCCACACTTGACTCAAATTTTGGTTTTGGTTTTTGGCAGAATTTAGGCCATGGCGGTCAGCCACAAATCATTCCCAATCACAGACAGATGAACCCCATCAAGCCTGCAAATGGACGCATCACAAGAGGTAATGCCCAGGTGATGGATCACCATCCCTCCCAAGGCCAGAACCTTCTTGGCCACTGTGCTCTGCACGTGTCTCTGGGCCCTCTTGTTGCAGCTGGGCATGGGCTTCCTTGCCACGCATGTTGCTGCAACAGCTGCGACCAAAAAATATTGAGTCCAGGAAGAGCTGCCTTCAACTCTTCCAAGTCCTCCTGCATATGGGTCCGCAGGCTCAAGATGGGAGCTTCCTGCAAATCATTCTCGCCCAGCTGCACCACCATCGCCACAGGCGTGCCTTCCCCAGACACCTTCACCCACACCGTTGGGAGAAGCTCCTCCCAATGCATTCCTCATCTGAATATTCAGGAAACGTACACATGGTTGGGAATCCTGAGCCTGTGTCCAAATCCAGACTCCGCAACCCTCTTGCTGGCCCAGTGGACAATGCTGTGCCTGACTATCCTGACATGCAGGGTAGGTGGACCTAGGAATGAACAAAACAACATTAGCAACTGCACCTCAACGCCTCTTCCGAACATAACCTCGGTATGCTCCAGATCTCCAGTGGCCCAGATCCTTAATCCTGTCAACTGACATGCCCCAATGCGCAGCGGTGGTGGCTGCCCCAATACGGAAGGAATGAGGTGCAAACTCACTGGCCGACAGGCTACATGCTGCCAGCGCCTTGCACATTACTGCAGCAAATTGATGCCTCCTTAACCGGGACCCACCCTCCAGAACCAGGAAGGGACCATCCCCAGGCGGGCGAAGGGACAAACATTTATTGGCATCCTTAACTGGACAAGGTCCAGGCTCACCGGTGGCAGACAGCCTCATCAAGGCACCTCTGCCCTACTAGTCCATTTTGGAATTGCGAATGGTAAGGACCAACTCAGCATCGGACAGCTGAACACCCTGCAAAAGCAATCCCCTGGGAGTCCTTCCCTGCACCACCACTTTGCCCACCCGCAGTGCACTGAAATAGTCAATTGAAAATGCTGCCGTAAAGAGTCTCGCCTCAAAATTAGACCAACAGATTGATCTCAGGGTGCTGCGCATAGTGCACAGAATGTCAAATGTGACCTGGCGAGTTAGGTGGCTGTAATCTGGCCCAGCCTTCAAGAGCCTTGCACACCACAAATTTTGCACAAGGGTCTCTAGAATAAGGGGACTTACAGAAAAAGGAAATGGCAGAAGACTGAATTCAGATGGACTTTACTGTGCAACCCATAAAACGCAGGTGAGCCAAATACTGCAACACCTGATGTGTGGATGGTGACTCTGTGCTGAGGCTGGTCATGAGCTGCACTCTAAAAGCTAAAAAGTGCATCCAGGCCTTCTTATAAGACCTCAAAGTGGAAGGAGAAACAGGTGCTATTACTCCTTGCGGGACTATCTGTTGCCAAGGTTCCAAACTGCTCCAGGAAATATTCCAGAAGCTGCTGGCCCTCCGGAGCCAGGGATCTGAAGAGCTCCATCTGAAAATGGGATAAGGCATCCGCAATGTCATTATTAGCTGCAGGAATAAAATGGGCAGAACATGCAATATTAAACCTGAGGCACCACAACACAAACGTGCATAAGAGGACAGAGACTATGCTGGAGCAGGATGACTGCTTTGCCAAAACGCTCACCACGGCTTTGTTATCGGACCAGAAACAGACCCACCGGTCCTTGAACTCTGTGGTCCAGATGTGTACTGCCACTACGATGGGGGGAAACTCAAGAAAGTTTAAATCACGGGTAATGGCTGTACCCTGCCAGTGCTCAGGCCACCTCTGAGTGCACCAATGGCCTTGGAAATAGAGCCCAAAGCCCAAGGAACCAGCAGCATCCGAATGGACCTGGAAATTGAATTGCAGATTCAAGGTATCCTGCCACATGGGTATGCCATTGAACTCCTTAAGGAATTCAAGCCACATCCCTAGGTCTGCCCTGACCTTGCTGGGCAACCAGACACAGTGATGGGGTAAGCGCAGGCCAGCTGAAAGTCTGGCTAAGCGTGCACAAAAGGGGCGACCAGGCGCTACCACTCTGCACGCAAAATTCAAATGGCCCAAAAGGGACTGAATCTGCCTCAAGGTAACTTTTTCCCATGGCAAAAAGTCCATAATGACATCACGCAAAGCCATCAACTTTACTTCAGGTAGAGTGGAAGATGATAAATCTCTCTCTCGGCTCGCAGAGGACACGCTGTTCGTGTTCTGAAAGCACGCGCCGAAAGAGGAAGCTCTGGGTCACGTGCATGGGCATAAATAGGTCCCTCAAACCGTTTGGACTGCGTCCCATTGGCCAGATTGCACCCAGCTTTGAGGGACCTACCAATCGGGTGTTGTGGCTGACCAATAGTACCCACCCACTACACAGGGTGACGGTTGTCCAGGTCTCACCTCAGTGCGTGCCCTCTTTAAGGGAGGACCCAATATGTCACAATCAGGAGTTTGAAATACAGTGAGGTTTGAAATATAGTAAAGGAGGACCCGATATGTCACAATCAGGAGTTTGAAATACAGTGAGGTACACTGTTGTGAAATGAAATTATGTACTCAGTGCCTACTGGGTCATTTATATATGAGCATCTTTGTATCTCTGAAACATGAGCCAATTGGCAAATTTATTGTTGTTTTTGTGTTCAGTACCTCAAAATTGGTAAAAAAAATTGCTCTTTTCATTTCAGAGGCATTTTGTGTGTTGTGCAATATAACATCAGGAATAACTTTTTTACAGAGCTGTCAGGAGTCACTCAGGAAGTTGTGGACTCTCCTTCCTTGGTGGTTATTAAGCAGAGTTTGGACAGCCACCTTTCACAGGTGACTTAGCAGAGATTCCTGAATTGCAGAGGGGTTGAATTAGATGGACGTCGGGTCCCTACCAACTCTATGATTCTATGAATGAAGATGGTGGAGTGAACCTTTCAAAACTGCATTGATTTTAATCAAATAAGGATGTGCAAAATAAATAAATAAGTGTAGTGTAGTGTAGTGTAGTGTAGTGTAGTGTAGTGTAGTGTGCAAAGTGCATGGCTACAGCATGGTCTGTGGACATCCCTACTGTCAATGACTTCTGGTCATGATGGCTTCATTTCCTACATTATGACTACTCTGCTCATGCCTCGTTTTCTGTACTTTCCAACAGACATTTGATTAGGAGCTCTGACAACACAATGCTGGACTAAATGGGCTTTTGGTCAGATCCAATTCCTGATTCCTGACTCCCACAGTGGGTCCCCAGAGTTCTGTCAAACAATAATAAGTTATTATCGCGATCGATGTGTTGGACATGTCTGCAATATGTCATTTGTCTGTATTTCTCACATACTCAGAAAACCACACAGTTCAAATTGGAACTAACTTTTTATTAGCAAAAACATGATCTTCACAGACTTCACTGTGTGTCAGACCAGTGAGCACAGCAACTCATTCCCTTTGGGTCATACTCCATGAAATCAGTTGCTGGGAGTGAAGATCCCTGACTCCCCACACCTGTCTTTGTCTCCTACTTTCCAGGGTTTTTTCCCCCAAGCAATCAGAGACTTCCATCCTTTTGATCCCTCTTCTGGTTCTTGTGGGGAGGGGGAAGAGGAACTTGTCACAACAGGAGGGGGAGACATCCATGACTTTCAACAGCCAGGCTCATCTTGCCCTTTGACCTCCCTCCTCCCACTTGTCAGCTTCAGCTTCTGATTCTAGACTTCTTTCTGCCATAGAATCTCCCAGCTGACTATGAAGCTACCTCCTCTTCCCAGTCTTCTCCCTCTGACTTATGTGGGAATGCAGGGGCTGCATTTGACCCCAAGGACACAGGTTGTTCACCCCTGGTACAGATTACAAAAGGGCACCATAGTATCTCAAATTTTTTGTATCTCTTTTAGCTTCGCTTACTCAGCCTAATGAGCAGTTGGTTATTTTAGACAAAATTATGAAAACACATTTTTTCAGCAAGTACATTATGAATCCACTCTTCTTCAGCAGGTACACTGGATGAGTAAGACTCTGAGGCAATTAAAATTTGGCTGGTGTTAGATTCCCCACGAGCTTCAGTTGGCCAGAGCTTACATCAACCTGCTGAACCAGGTCAGCTGTTCCAGAACCCCGTTGTCGCAATGGCCAACCAGAGGCCTGTGCAAAGCCTGAAAGCAGGACTTGACAGCAACACCACTCTCCCCACCTGTGATTCCCAGCAACAGACATTCAGACAGTAGCATAGCATTGGGGACCAGGCAGCTGTGGCCCGGAGTGCAAATTTCTGAGGGAGTGCAACAAAGGCATCCCCACAGCAGGCTATTGAGGTCACAGGTGCAGGGAGGCAAGCCACATCTGGGCTGGACCTTCAGGGCTGGGGCAGTGGTGTCACCTCCTTCTCCTTGTGACCAGTGAAGGGATGCCTGCACGTGCCCCACCTCTGGGCTTGAGACGGAGGGAGTGGGAGGAAGAGGAAGATTGGACAGCACTGCTAGAACCACGTGCATTGCCCAGAGTGCCTAACTGCAAGGACAGGAGGGCAAGGGAGCACAGCGGCACTCAGGGCTTCACGTTTCTCTGCCTTATCTCTGCTCCCTGGTGACTCCCTTGATTAGATGCAGACCAGCAAAGTGACTGACTCCTGCCCAGTCCACCGGGGGGGGGTGCAACAACTGTCATGTTCTGGGCACCAGTAACCCATGCTACACCCCTGCATTCAGAGGACTACTGCCTCCAACAGTTGTGATACAGCATGACCATCTGGGTCAGTAGCAACTAATAACCTTATCCTCCATGATTTTTTCGATAATCCTCAAGCAAACAAATCCAAGTTGGTGGTGATCTTTACTTCCCATAAGAGCAAATTCCAGAGTTTAACTACATGTTATTTGAATCAGTGCTTTCTTCCATCTGTCCAGAATCTTCCAATATACAGTTTCATTGACGCCCTGAAAATTCTAGTGTTATGAGAGAGGAAGAATAACTTTTCTCCATCCATTTATTCCACACCATCCATAATTTTGTACACCTCTTCATGCTTCTTACTTGCTTTTTTTTGAAGTGAAAAGTCCCAAATTTTGTAACCTTTCCTCATTAGGGACTTGCTCTTGATCTTTGGCTTCTCCTTTTTTAAAGCTTTTACAACTACGCAATATCCTTTAAAGTGAGAAGACTGTACACAATATTCCTAATATTTCTATAATGGCATCATGATATTGGAAGATTTATTCAAAGGTAGCTGAGATATCGACAAATAAGAATAAGGATTCACACCAATGCAGTCATGAAAGTTTCTTTCCCTTTCTCATAATACTAGAACCAGGGGCGTAGGAGCGGGGGTGGGGTGGCATGTCACCCCATGCTCTATCAAGGAGAGGGGTGACAAATTATCAAGGAACAATTACTGCCCTACTAGGGCGGTTCATTAAAAACTTCTTTTTTTTTTTGTAAATGCCTGCTCCAAAGGTCTTACCTTACTACACTAGGGATTATATAGCTATTTCTGAAACTTCATGCATATCAGTTAATATCTTGACCCTCATCCACGAAAATAGCTCTTTACTTGGCCATTTTCCTATATTGTGAAGGCTGAAATTTCAATTCATTGGAGCAGGGTCAAGATATTAACTGAGATGCATGAAATTTCAGATATAGCTATATAATCCCTACTGTAGTAAGATAAGACCTTTGGGGCAGGCATTTTATTTTTTAAAAAAGTTTTTTATGAACCTCCCTACTGCCCTACCCTCCACTGGGCTTCCCAGCTCCTGGAAAGTCAGCCTATGTGAAGAAAATAGGACTAGGCTGAGTAGATTAGGCCTTGTCTTGCCTTTGTCCCGCCCCCTGCCTGCAGCCGATTGGCCAGCTGGGTTGGGGGCACGGCGAAGGCAAGGCAAGGCCAAATCTACAGTGGTGCCTCGCAAGACGAAATTAATTCGTTCCGCAAGTTTTTTCGTCTAGCGAATTTTTCGTCTTGCGAAGCACGAAATCCCATAGGAATGCATTGAAATTCAATTAATGCGTTCCTATGGTCAAAAAAGTCCAAACAAAGCCAAATTTGGTACAACAAGAGTTTATTAAGTGCTCTTTAAAGTCACACATACTGTAAAGAGCATTTCAAAAATTGAAGAAACAATAAATTAAGTTTCTAAACATGACAGAAAAACATTTAAAAATCAACAAAGTGTACAGTACATTTTCTAAGACTCTGGGGGACAACTCGAAGAAGGTTCCTCTTCCACTCTTTGCTTCTTGCTGAAGAACCTGTCCATGGTCTGCTGCTTCATCTGCCTTTTCAGCACCTCCCTGAAAGGCAACATGACCCTCGTATCAAAAGTGTTCACAAGGTCATGTGCCACGTGCTTGTCAGGGTGGTGCCGCTGTGCAAAAGCCTGCACATCCTTCCACTTCAGGCAAATGTCCCTCAGTTCTTTGGAGGACAGCCGTTCCTCAGGTGCTTCCTCCTCTTCCAGCGAGGCCTGCTCCTGTGCAGCCTCTGCCTGCAGTTCGACCAGCTCCTGGGTGGTCAGCTCGTGGTCGTGCTCCTCCACCAGCTCGCTGATGTCTTCCTCTGTGACCTCCAGGCCCATGGTCCTCCCCAAGGCAACAATGTCCTGCACCACTGTTGACTCTGGTGCATCAGAGTCACTTGGTGCCACACAGTCCGGCCACAGGCTGCGCCAAGCGCAATTCAAATTTCTCTGGCTGATCCTGCTCCAGGCCGTGGTGATCATCTTCAAGCAGGTGACGATGTCGAAGTGGTCCTTCCAGAATTCCCACAGGGTGATGGTGGTGCAATCAGTCACCTCGAAGCATCGCCTGAAAAGCTCCTTGGTGTAGAGTTTTTGAAATTGGCGATGACCTGCTGATCCATCGGCTGGAGCAGTGGCGTGGTGTTAGGCGGCAGGAACATGATGCTGGTGAAGCTGAACTCCTCCAACAAGTCCTCCTCAAGGCCTTTAGGATGAGCAGGAGCATTGTCCATCAGAAGCAAAGCCTTCAGCGGCAGGTCGTTGTCCAGCAGGTACTGTTTGACAGCAGGGCGAAAAGCAAGATTGACCCAGTCCATAAACAGCACACATGTGACCCAAGCCTTACTGTTGGATCGCCACATGACACTCAGCTGCTCCTTGTCGACCTTGTGTTTCTTGAAGGCCCGTGGGTTCTCCAAGTGGTACACCAGCAGGGGCTTGATCTTCAGGTCGCCGCTTGCGTTGGCACAGAAGAGCAGGGTCAGACGGTCCTTCATGGGCTTGTGGCCAGGCAACTTGGCCTCCTCCTGTGTGATGAAAGTCCTTTTGGGCATCCTCTTCCAAAACAGCCCGGTCTCGTCGCAGTTGAAGACCTGCTGTGGAACGTAGCCCTCCGTCTTCACAACCTCCAGGAACTCCGCTGCAAAGTCTTCAGCCGCAGAAACATCAGAACTCGCAGCCTCTCCATGCCTGACCACGCTGTGGATTCCAGATCTTGTTTTGAACCGGTCAAACCAGCCTCTGCTTGCCTTGAAGACTTCTGGCTCGCCTGAGGTTCCTGGCTGTTCCCGGACGAGGCCTGCGTGCAAGGCCTTGGCCTTTTCACAAATGACGGCCTCAGTCACTGTGTCCCCTGCACGCTGCTTCTCTTCTAACCAGATGAGCAGCAACTTCTCCACCTCCTCCAGAACAGCTGGGCTGTTCTTCACGATCCTGGTGACTCCCTTGGCTGCATCAGTCGCAAGGATCTTCTCCCTCATCTTCAGGATGGTCCCGATGGTCGATGGATTCTTCCCGTACTCCCTGGCGAGGTCTGTCACACGCATTCCACCGTCGTGCTTCCGGATGATCTCCTTCTTCATTTCCAGTGTAATCTTCGCCTCCTTCCCCTCGCCGGCCTCTGCAGCAGCTGTCTTCTTGGGTCCCATGGCAGCACAGCTCCTACCTTCGCACCCCCCCCAAAAAAATCAGTGCTTCACATCCAAAAAATTCAAAAGCACCCAGCCACCCACCACACAGAAACTCAAACCCAGAACCAAGTCCTTGAATTCCAAACACCCCAACCCAAAATCCAAAAACCCCCAAACAAGTTTTAAAAGTTTAACTTACCAAATGAAGTTTTGGAAAAGCTTCAAAAATCACCAAAGTCTTCAAAAACCTCAAAAAAGGCTACCACAGTTGCTCCTCGAAGTCAAGTCGCAACTGCACCTCTTCAAGCAATGCACCCTGGGTATTAACAGTTTTAAGAAAAAGGAAACAAACTTGCAAGACGTTTTCGTCTTGCGAAGCAAGCCCATAGGGAAATTCATCTTGCGAAGCAGCTCAAAAAACGCAAAACCCTTTCGTCTTGCGAGGCATTCGTCTTGCGGGGCACCACTGTATTCGGCCTACTCTCATTTTCTTCACATAGCCTGACTTTCCAGGCTGCTGGGGAAGCCTGCCAAGGCCGCTGCCTGTCCTGCACACCCCCTTCAGGCCCCAATCCCCCTTCGAAAAGCCTCTGCTGCCTCCAAAAGTGGAGCGCGTGAGACAATGGCAGCGCTGCCACCCCGTTTTCCCCACATGTGGCGCTGGGAGAAGCAGCTCAGCACTGCCCTAGGCGCTTGGCGGGCCGGCCTCCCCTTTGCCCCCAGCCTCTCCTGCATGAAGGTAGGAACCCCCTCACTCGCACACCCCAGTCTCCCCTGCACGAAGCTAGGACCCCCCAAAAGCAGTTGTGTAATTAAAAGAAGATGAGAAAAATCAGCAAAGCAATTCTGTGGCTAACAGACCAATTCCTTTAAATAGGGTCTATTAATGAAGTTCACACTTTTTACAACCAGTCTGATTCTTTTGCAGACAAATATTCCTAGACACAAGACTTTTATTTTTTATTTTTTAAGCCGTTTCAGTCTCCCATCTCGAGGCTAAGTTCAGCAAGCTGTACATTCCCACCCCTCTCCCCAAGACTGGATTATTTACTTCTGTGTGCTTGTGTATCTGTGCCTCCTTTGTATCTATTAGGGACTAATTTCTTGCCTTTCCATTGATATCTATGTTACTGATTACTTCTGCCATTTTAATTTTAGAGAAAGTGTTTAATTTAAAAAGGATCTGTACTATAGAATAACAGTGGTAACAATACATTGAAGACAAGTAAATATTTTGGGGCAGCAGAGGCTATCCCAGAGCCCTAGCGCCACCATCCCAAAGAGGATAAAATGGGCTGACTTTGGTACTCTTTTCTCCTCCCCTCCCCCAATGTCATTCTCTCTATCTGAGCTGGCTCCCTGCCTGTTACGTTAGATGCGGGGAAACCCGTGTGGGGTTCCTCTCTATGTAAAGTCTTCAAGCTGTTCCTGTGCACGCCTGAGAAATCTGCTCCATTGTCAAAATTTATCTTTTCCTCCACCTCCAGTCTCCGTTGTTGTGAGTCCTGGCTGAGGGGGAAAACAGAAGACGGATGGCCATCGGTCAGGGATGGTCTAGTTGAGATTCCTGCATTGCCCCAGGGGTTGGGCCAGATGACCCTCAGGGGTCCCTTCCAACTCTACAATTCTGCAGGCTTGTGCAGACTTTTAGGTACAAGTTGGATGCAAGGGCTGCATAGGATTGCAGCCCATCTTATGCACCGTCGGCTCAGGAAAAGTCCCACTGATCATGATGAGACTAGATTGCTGCTGTGCAGTCCTGCTTTTAAATAAATGTTTTCCTTTTCAGATAACACAGAGCATGGTGAAATCACAATGAGTAGAACCTCCCCTTCAGGAGTTTCAAGCGCTAGTACAGGTTCTACATAATATGTGTGCTGCATTGTTTACTGTGACAGCATCTGCCCTTTGGAACTCCCCACCTATTCTTCTTTAGGCAAGCATACCTAGATGCTTAGGAAGTTGAAGTAATTTTAATTTTAACATTTTAGCTTTTATGTGTTTTAAAGTAGGATTGTTAATTTTTCTTGATTTTACTGCTGTGGTGTTTTTTTGTTTTTTGTTTTGGTAAACCACTTTGCAGGTTTTTTAAAATAAATTTTATTAAATAAATACACAATAAATATAAATAAAATAACACAAGCCAAAACACAATCCATCCTATAGATTTAAGTATCTGTCCACAGTCGCCTACTTGTTATCAGAGGCCCAGAATCCACATTTGTAAGAAAATATGAAATAGGCAAAATAAATAAATAAATAAATGTGGGTGTGTGACACAAAAAAAATCCGTACCACCGGGTACCACCTAACCTTCCTAAGCCTCTGACTAGAACTCAATGACATCTAATGAAGCTGACTATAGAACAGGGACGTGAGCTTGAAAAAAATATTGGGAGTGCCCACAAAGATCTGTGATATGGGAGGGGGGGGGCTGTTTTAATCCAAGGCTGTTGATACAGGCAAAACAAGACCCTTTCAAAGAATTAATGCTGTGGTTAGGCTCAGGTTGTAATGATAAACCATCCATCATAAAGTGGTTTGTCTGCTTTTCCTCATTCCCAAAGGTAACACACACCCTGCTTAAACACCTGGAACCCCTAAACTCTCACACTGCTCAGAGATTGGGGTGGTGTTCAACAATATAATAATATCATTACAGCAGTGGGCACCTGTGCCAGAGACAATGTCACAATGAGTATGGACTGCCTGTTTTCCTAGGATTCTAAGGCCTTTAAAGCACGCAGTTGAAATCCCTTGCTGGAACTTTATTCACATGTCCCCCTGTTGCATCACAGTACTAGCAAGAGTAGAATGGATTGTACCTTTGCTCTGTCATCTGATCTATTTTGACAACACTTACCTAAGGCCATGTCAACTTGGGCCTCAACACCCACACCCACACCAACCTCATCCTTCAGAATGAGCCTCATCCCCCACTCTATTTATCTGAGACATTCTCTGAGTTCTTGCTCTCTCTCTTGGCTTCTGGGGAGAATTAAATTCATAGTAAGTGGGCATAACTTGACAGCCATGCAACCTCATCACTCGAGTGATAAGCTATTATTATTATTATTATTATTATTATTATTATTATTATTATTATTTATTAGTTCCATAGACAGTAACTCTTCACAATGACTACAAGGACAGCATGCCTCTGACTCTGGGTACTAGTTTCTAAGAAGAAGAAGCTAGACAGGTGCCCCAACTGGGGAGGGTGAGGTACTCCCCCCCAAAAAAATATTCTTAAAGAGGGGGGTGGGCCCCATTAATACTGAGCAGAAAATCATGTATAAGGTTAACACGTCCCACTTTGTCAGCCCCCTCAATAGTAGGGGCAAGCCAGTGCCTCAGCAGCCAGAGACGGCTATTGTACTACCTGTGAACTTCCCAGGGGCATCTGCTTTTCCATTGTAGGAAACAGGATGTGGGACTAAATAGGACTTTGGTGTGATCCACTGGGGTTTTTTTGGATCATAAAATAATATGAAGAGCCCTGTTAGACCAGGCAAAAGGTTTATCTAGTCCTAAATCCTGTTTTCACAATGGCAAAACAGATGTCTATGGCAAGGACAACTGTGGTGCCCTGCTTGTGAAAGGCTGTCCCCAGCGACGGCTGCCTGGGGCCTTCACATATATATATATATATATTCTGCACAAGGAAAGACATACCTTTTGCCCAGGCCTTTTGTGAGAGATTATATGTTTGCTTCTAGTGCTGTTATGGGAGTTGTTTTGTTTTCCATGGGGTAATGTTTTTATATTAATGTTTTTAAAATGCAAGTCACTTGGAGACATTCAGGTAACAAGCAACTAACATGTCTAAATAAAAAGGTAAAGGTAAAGGACCCCTGGACGGTTAAGTCCAGTCAAAGATGACTATTATGTTGTGGTGCTCATCTCGCTTCAGGCCGAGGGAGCCAGGGAAGAAGAAGATATTGAATAATATGATGATAATGGAGGAGGAGGAGGACATGAGCACATTGTCACTTTCCCCACCCCCTCCATTGTGATTCCCAGCATCTGGGTGTCCCATTGTTAGATTCTCATTTTTAGAAGAAATAAAGGAATTATCTAAGCTTAAAGAGAAAATTATACATCCACATTATATATTACAGAAATATATAATTCTAGGTAAAGGTAAAGGACCCCTGGACGGTTAAGTCCAGTCAAAGGTGACTACGGGGTTGTGACACTCATCTCGCTTCAGGCTGAGGGATCCAGCATTTGTCCAAAGACCGTGATGGAAGCCAGAGCAACATTACAGCAAGAAAACTCCCTGGACATCTGTGATGCTGCCACTCTCCCTCTCTCATTGCTCAAATGCCAAAGTGCACTTCTTTCAGACTGTCTTTGGCTTTCATCATCATCACAAGTGAAACAAAAGCAAAGGACGTGGAGCTGTGCTTATGTATATCCAGCCCCTTAATAAGCTAGTCCCTTAAATCCTCAAGTTTCTTTGAACAGAACCTCCCCCACCCCTGCACTTAACAGTTACCAAGTTATTTTAAAGAGGAAGTAGACAAGTTTTCTAACCCAAACACAAGTGCATTTAATGGAAGTGAGGAAATCTAGAACTTGAGTCACTGCATTCCACAAAAGAAACTGTGGACAGACACCTGTCTCCCCTAGCAATAAGTTTCTTTCTTTCTTTCTTTCTTTCTTTCTTTCTTTCTTTCTTTCTTTCTATTAATCTTTATTGGTTTAAAATCAAAACATTCACACACAATGAAAGCTTGAAGAGAAAAATAGAAAAAGAAAAGACGAAACAAAAGAAGCACGATGCTAAGTTGTTATTGGTATGAACTTTCGTGTGCAGGCACACTTCTTCAGATACCATGCACACAGAAGCTCATACCAATAACAAACTTAACTGGTCTGTAAGGTGCTAATGGAAGGAATTTTTTATTTTGTTTCGACTACAGCAGACCAACACGGCTACCTACCTGTAACTAGAACAAAAAGCAGTAGAACAAGACATCACAAATTCACAAAAATGTTTTGACCATCAACTTCCAACTTCCTTGATATGGGTTCTTTGTTTTCTTAATTACTTGCCTTTATTTTTCAATGAACCTTGTCTTTATTAAATCTTGTGCGACTTCTTTATACCTTATTCAATTCTGAGAGTTATTCGAAGCATTCTAAAGTTCTTTAAAATATTGTCTATAGATCTCCCATTCTGTTTTGAACTTTGGGGTTGACCGATTTTCTGTCATATATGCTAGTTCCATGTATTCAAGCATTTTTACTTGCCACTCCTTTCCATCCCTTGGCAATCAGCGTCCTCGCTGCCATTATTGCATAGAAAAAGATCCTTCTTTTCTTCCTTGGGATGTCTGATGCCATTATGCCTAAGAGGAAGGATTCAGGTTTTTTTATTAAATGTTATTTTGAACAGTTTTTTTAAAAAATTCATTGTATATAAGTTCCCAAAAGTTCTTTATTTCTTTGCAACCCCACCACATGTGGTACATTGTGCCCTCTAATTCTCTACACCTCCACTGTGGAAAGACACCTGTCTCCCCCTCACAATAAATTCCATGCCACTGACCCTCAAGGAAATCTGGCAAAAAAGCATGAGGTTCCAGAAATCTAATCCAATTTCAGTGCTGAGCTTTGAAATCTAGCATAGTCTGTTGGGACTCATTTCCCCAGGGTGGTGAAATTGAGGCTGGCACACATTAGGGGGGACGTGTCCTTGGAGTTCTTGGGAGGGGGAAGAGATTTAATTTGTTTTCAACGCTGTGCTTTAAATTATGATATAGTGCAATTAGAATTCTAGCAATTTGTGACACTGTGCTGAACCTGTTGTTCCTGGGTGCTGGCAAAGTGCTCCTTGTCGTGGCCTATACTTTCCTCCAACTAAGCCTCTTCATGCTTCCCTGTTTGGCCCACTGCTCTTCCTGACTCTTCAGCTTTCTAGAATGATTAAGACACTCCTGACCACCTGACTCCTCTTGGTCCAGCTTCCTCCAGGAAAGAGCCTTGGAAGACTAGACAGGTTATGGGTATCAAAGTCCATAGTATCTGGTTTTAAGAACACTGAAATACAACTGAGAACTTTATCAGATCAAAATTTGATATTTAGTATTATTAAAGGCCAGCAAAATACCACTTTTAGATGGAAGCTGAATGACAGCTTGTTAGAAAGACTGGGATAATGCAAAAGGGATTTTAATGTTTAACTGACTTCTTTGAGTTAAATACAGTCATATCTTGTGTTGTGTTAGGTTCATGTTGTGTCTTTTCAGGTTGCGAAAGTGGCAAACCCAGAAGTGTATGATTCCAGGTTTCACCGCGTGTGCATGCGTAGAAGCGTTCTGCGCGCTTTGCACATGCACATAACCCTCTATCGCACCGTGCGTGCGCACAGAAGCGGCACTCTAGTTACGGACTTTTTGGGGTGTGAACGGCACCCCAGAACGGATTGAGTCTGTAACTAGAGGTACCACTGTATAGAGAATTGTACAGATTTAAATACAGTATGGGATGCTAGGAATATGATTATTAGAGGCTCCTTCATATAGCAAAGTGCTTACCAAAAAAGGTGAAAGATCAAAAGACATATTAAAAGAAATAGAAACTGTAAAAAGTCTTTGATTGACAAGCCCAATGATAATAAAATGTTACAAACTATTAGACTATCATTGTTATTAAACCAGGAGATGGAACAAAAGTTAAAATGTTTTAAGCAGAAGCACTTCAAAATTGACACTTCTATAATGATGTCAACTCCTGTCCAAGACAGCAGGCATCATTCTAGTTCTGGGAATGTTTTAGGCAGAGAGATGAGACTGTTCATAATATACTTTTCTATTTGCTTTTGAGATGGATACTTGGTTGTGATACATTCAGTGCAAAGAGCACGACTGGTGCGGTTGCATCAGGTGTGGAGATTCTGGGGTGGCTGCAGCAGATGCTGCAACTATGACACGCAACAAAAGGTGAGATATGGGAGGGCAGATTTTGGTGCACAGGGTGCCACTGAAATTTGAGGTGCCAAGGTTAACCACTGTCAAGTTTCAAGGCCTACATTATGATTACTCCTCTCTCCTTCCAAATTTGCTTCCCCATCAGTCTGTTTCTTTCTGTTTTCCATTCTCATGTTCTGCATCTGCCCCTTCATCAAAATACTGTGTATGATTACCCAAATCAACAGCTCCTTGTTTGGGAATGAGGTTTTCCACAGGATTATCTTGCTGCAGTCCTACAGGTAAGTAAAAAATAAAACAAAATCCAAACTGAAAGAGCCTTTGTTGACCCCTTTTTCATTTTCCCTTTCTTGTCTTTTCTTGTCTCCTGATCTGTGATAGAATTTGGAGGGGTGATTTATAAATTAGTGGGGTTTTTTATATCTGCAGAAAGGGAGAGAGGAAAACAAGACAAAAAATATTATATACTAATAATTGTGTAGAAGATGAAGTTGTGGCGGCAGTGGTAGGCTAGTAGTAGGCGGACGCACGTTGGCAAAAGGAGAAGGGAGTAGGGGAAGAATTGTTGTGGCATTTTATACAAGCGTTCCCCCACTTTTGCATGATTGACAAGCGTGACTGTGTATGCTTGCAGCACTGGAAAATAAGTAAATAAAAAAACAGAATACCAGGAAATGATGGGAGAAAGCAGGAGAGTCCCCGTGGCTTGGGAGGAGACCCTCCCCAGAACCTGAAGTGGACTTCAATGAGGGTGGATGAAGCCCCAAGGAGAGCGGAGGTGCAATGGGGCTTTAATTAGGCTGCTCCACCTCCCTTCCTAGCAGGTGACACACATGGTATTGCAGCTGCTGCTGCTTCTGCGGCTTTTGCACACGTTCTCCAACCTCCAGGCATCCCAGAGCTTCAGCTCTAGATATTTTGGTCTGAACTGGGGAGAGAGTTTGAGTGGGGGGAGGGCCTGTATAGGCTTACACAAAATGTGAATGCTACTCTTCACACAATAGAGGGTAACTTTTTCTGATATCCCAATATTCTGACTCCTCTCGTTTGGCTCCAAGGTCCCCTTTTTGGCCTTAGGCAGGGGTGTGATGTACCACCTGCAACCCCCTCTCCTGAGTGCTGTGGAGAGGCATCCAGGGGCTGCATTTGGCCCCCAGGACACAGGTTATCCACCCCTAGCCTCTCCATTCTCTCTCTCTTTCTCTCTTCAGTCCTGAGCTGAAAATCGTTCCTGGCAAACTCAAAACCATGGGATGGAATCATGATTGTTTTTAAAATGTTTTGATCTATTTCCACTTTGTTTTAAAATTCAGTAAATAATAATATAAATCAGATGTCCAGATTTTAAGATGTACTGTACCAGGCCTATGCCAAACTCAGGATATCCTCAGGATTCAATTTTATCCCCTATGCTCCTTAACATATACGTAAACCTCTGAGTGGGGACATTGGTTCTAAAGTTTTAAATGTAATGTACATAAAATGTTATGTTTCAATGCCTTTAAAATGTCATGATGAGAAGTCAGTCTACTGCAAAATGCATGACTCATCTCATGACTTGGATTTCATACAGTCCTACTGTTAACCTGACCAAGATGATCAAGGGTCTGGAAACCCTTGAGGGAGTTTGGTATGTTTAGCCTGGAAAAGAGGTGACTGAGAGCAGACATGATAGCCATTTTCAAATATCTAAATGGCTGTCACGTGGAAGATGGAGCAAGCTTGTTTTCTCCAAAGGGTAGGAACTGAACCAATGGATCAACACCACTGCCTCTGGAAGGCAGGAACCTTATGCCTTAAGTACTTCCTACTCCTTCCTACTCTCAAATTGCCTTTTCCACACTGCAATTCCTTTCCCTGAAATCATTTCCTTGGAAGGTAGCAAGTGGGTTATCAGCACACGTCTCCGCTATCAATTGTCTTGGATCATCAAGAATGGAAAACAAATCTTCCAAATCCATATCCTCCTTTCTCTTCATCCACTGATGGTTAGATGAATCATTCTGTGCTGTGTATCTTCTGCAGCCACCTCAGTGTATCATGAGGTTGGCAACTGCTGACCTAGCTCCACTGGCCCAAAATGGTTGCATCTTTCGATGAACTTATTGGAAGACTGTGGGTCATGAAGGTGGGGCGTGTGTGTTTGTTTATTTGAATTCAGCAGGGTTTAGTTTGCTGATGTTTTTAATATTGTTTTGTGGATTGTGAGTGCTGTAGTGCTTTGTGAATCTTATAAAATGACCTTTGTTCTGGTTGTGCTGCTTCATTTTTTTAGTTATTTTGTTAACAATGTTTTAGAGAAGGTCGTTACTTTTGTTATGTTTTGTAGTCGTTTTACTGATCATTGTCAATTATACCAACTGATTAATGCTCTAATTGTGAGGTTCTGTTAGGTTGCTGTTATTTATTGTTTGTTTGTAAGCTGCATTGTGACTCACGTGAGTGAAAAGCAGCATAGAAATAGAATAAATGAAATGAAATGTTGCTGAAAGTGTGGCAAGGCAGCCCTGAAGTTGCTGCATCTTCTCTTCCAGCACAGCAGCCATTTTCACTTGCACTTCAGCTGATGCAATATGATACCATATGTGGCAATCTGGAGATTGAAATACAGTGAGGTACACTGTTGGCAATGAAATTATGTACACAATGCGTACTGGGTCATTTATACGTGACCATCTTTGTATCTCTGAAACAGGAGCCAATTGGCAAATTTATTGTTGTTTTTTTGTTCAGTACCTCAAAATTAGTAAAAATATATAATACTAAAATTACACAAAGAAAACTCCTCCTGGACATCTGTGATGCTGCCACTCTCCCTCTCTCTCATTGTCCAAACACCAAAGTCCACTTCTTTCACACTGCCTTTGGCTTTCAGAACCATCACTAGTGAAACAAAAGCAAAGGATATATTCCAGCCCCTTAAGTTCACAAGCTTTTCTGATTAGTGACCTCCCCTACCCCTGCCCTTAACTGTTACCAATTTATTTTAAAGAGTAAGTGACCATGTTCTTTATGCCAAACCCAATTGGATTTAATGGGGCCGAGGACACCTAGAAATCGAGTCACTGTGCATTTTATTAATGTGCCATAAATAAACCCTTTACCCTTTCACAAAATTTCATGCGGCTGACTCTCAGGAAAATCTGGCAAAATTGCCTGGGCTTCTGGAAATTTAATCCTATTTCAGCGCTGAGCTTTGAATTCTACTGTAACCTGATGGCACTCATTTTCCCACATCCAGGGTGGTGAAATTGAGGTTGGCACAGCTTAGAAGAGACGTGTCTTTGGAGTTCTTGGGAGGGGGAAGAGATTTAATTTGTTTTCCACACTGTGCTTTAAATTATGGTATAGTGCTATTAGAATTCTAGCAATTTGTGACACTGTGCTGAACCTGTTGTTCCTGGGTGTTGGCAAAGTGCTCCTATACTTTCCTCCAATTAAGGCTGTTCATGCATCAGTTCCCTCTCTTACTCCTTCCTGGCACTTCAGCTTTCTAGAATGATGAAAACCAGGCACAGGCAAACTCGACTCTCCAGAGGTTTTGGGACTACAATTCCCATTATCCCTGACCACTGGTCCTGTTAGCTATGGATGGTGTGATTTGTGGTCCCAAAACATCTGGAGGGCCAAGTTTGCCTATGCCTGATGAAGAAAACTGATCACCTGACTAATAAATAAATAAATAAGGGGAAAAACATGCACCCAACCCCTGAGGCCATTCCACTGTAAGTATCCAACCAACCCAAAATTTAAATACCTCTTGTGATGCTTTGACCTCTTTCCGTTTCAACAGTATGAATTCTACCAAAACTTTCCATATCTCCTCAAAATCATTTCTCCTGCATATTCCCCTTACCTTACCTTACCTTACCTTACCTTACCTTACCTTACCTTACCATAATAGCACAAAATAGAAACACCCCTGCAATTATTCTTCAAGCCACACTGTATCACTATATTTCCTCCTTATTCTCTTGCTCTCCTTTCTCACATTGTGCTTCCCCACTTATTTGTTGTTTTGATCATTTATTTCCTGTTGCCTCCCATTGACTGCAGCTTATTCACAAAATTTCTCAGGCTATAAGAAAAGAGAAAATAAAATAAGAAAGCCTTTCATCCCAACTTTTCCCTTTCTTCTTCTTCTTTTTTTTAAAATATATTTTATTAAGGATTTTCTTGTTTTACAGAAGTGTAGTGCCTCGTTTTTTGTTTTCTTTTCATGTAACATTTTTACAAATCCGTTTCATTTGTTGAGGCATTAGGGGGAGAAGAAAAAAGAAAGAAAAAAGAAAGGGGGGTGGAGAGAGGGAAGATGGATAGGGGTGGGGTCGGGTGGCGGTGTTTCTATTATGTTTAATGTATGTAGAGTTTGATGTCAGCGTTGCTTGTGTTGTTCACTTGTGTTCCTTTGGTGGTGAGAGAGGTTGGGGTTGGCCTAGGGTGTGATTGTTTGCTTGTGATTGGCTGTGGTGCTCTTTGTTTTCGTGTGTGAGTGAGGTGGGTGGGTGTTTTGGATCAGGTTAGCCATATTGATTTGTATGCTGTTGGTGGATTATTGTCATTGTCCTGTTGGGCTGTGTATGTGATAAAGGGAGCCATACCGGGGTGAAGGCGTCTTCTTCTGTTTGTCCCGTGTCAGTTTCAGTTTATTAGTTAATTTTTCTAGTAGGGCTGTTTCCCATACTATTTGGTACCATTGGTCCATGCTTACTCCTGACAGGTCTCTCCAGTGTCTGGTTATGGTGTTTCTGGCTGCTGAGAGCAGGTGGGTTATGAGTTCTTTGTGGTGTAAATGGGCATTGTTGTCTTGGAAGATGTTTAGTAGGGCCAATTCTGGGGTGATGTCTATTACTTGCTTAGTTATTTTACATATTTCTTGTATGGCAACGCAAACAAATGTTTTATATGTCTCCTTTTCCATTCCCAAAAACCATGTGCTTTTGATGTGTTTTTCCCTAGCTTTTCCCAATCTTATTTTAACTGTTTAAAAACAAATTAAATCCAAGCCCACAGTGTGTGTCTCTTTTAGGTCATAAAAAGAAACAAAGGAAATAAAAAACAATCCTTAATTTAAAAACCAGCAGATTTTGCTTATTTGAGATATGAAGGGAGAATACAAGCTGCAGAGAAATTCCTGTGGCTGAGCTATGGCCATCAAAGAACAATAGATGGCAATTGAGGGACATGAACAATGCAACTCCTTCCCTCTGCCCTGAGACTAGGGATTTGGAAGGTTGCCAGGGTAACTATCCATGGAACAAGGGTGACTGGAGGAAGAAGGAGGAAGAAGAATTGAAATCCTCCATGGGCAGGCTGCTAGAAGGCCGCCCACACTGCTGTGGGGTACAATCCCCTCTTAAAAGGCCCATGCTTCACCTGAAGGTCTAAATAGGCGAATAAACCATATTTCTTAAAGCCACAACATTCTCTGATATGTCTCAGTTCTCCAAAGGAGCACAAACCTTGTGTGAGTGTCTGGAATGCCCTGGGCTCTTGCCACCCAACTTTTGTAACAATACCCATTTCTTCCCTCTGCAAAGACTGCCCTTCCCCACCATCCCCAACACCATCAAAGACTCTTTATTTGGCAAATTCTTCACGTGCCCCCTCCATGAGAGGTCCAGAGGGCTTCAACATGAGAAAAGGAGCTTATTCTTTATTTGACAAATACAGACACAGAACACAGTTTTATTTGCGACACCAATTTATTGTGATCATGATCAAGAGAAGTTTTAACCATACGCTATGATATCATGAGGATGAGTCCCCAAGCCCCACTTTTCTACTTTAGCTTATCTATCCCTGCATCCCATTCACCCTACACTAAATGCCAAATAGGGGACTCTCAGTCCTGTGAACCCCACTTTCTCTGCACTCCCAATATCAGGCAAGCAACTTCCTCCCCCAATGCAGCTGCAAATCATGGATGTCAAAGGGGAAGACTTTGCTATCTTCTAATTACTCATCAAGGTTGGATTTATTTGGTGGTGTTTTGGTGGTGCTTTAGGATCACAGCATTGTGATTGGTTGATATTGCGAAAAAAGTCATCATCCGTTGATGTCCTTGCCAGATTGCAAAAATCCCGTGTTGCACAGCCTTTGAACACCTTATCAGAATGATTACTGCCATCTAGTAAAGAGAAAAAAGCATAGTCATAGAAATCATTGGGTAGTACCAGAGTCACAGGGTGCAGAAGACAGAGAATGTGAACATTTTAATCATTATAAACTGTATTGTACATATAGAACAATATGCATCCTAATATCACACTGATGTTTAAATCCAGAAAAAGAACTTTGTTCTTATGTAGCAGGGCCCCAACCCATATGGATATGGAATTCAAAATCCATGGCTGCTTTAAGGTTGTCTGTTTTTTTAAGGTTCATTAAAATGTGCTCTCTCTATATATATTTATATATATGTAATTCAACAAACAGATTATTTGTTTCTTTCTCATACACACATACACACCAGAGACAGAAGCACACAGTCTCATCCATATAGGTAAAGAAGGCAGAGGACCCCTGGATGGCAAAGTCCACTCAAAGACGACTATGGGGTTGCGGCGCTAACCTCACTGTCAGGCTGAGGGAGCCGGCATTTGTCCACAGTTTTCTGGGTCACGTGGCCAGCATGACTAAGCTGCTTCTTTCAAAACAAGACACTATGACGGAAGCCAGAGCACATGGAAACACCATTTACCTTTCTGTCACAGTGGTACCTATTTATCTACTTGCACTGACGTGCTTTCAAACTGCTAGGTTGGCAGAAGCGGGGACAGAACAAAGGGAGCTCACCCCGTCACAGAGATTCAAACTACCGACCTTCCAATCAGCAAGCCCAAGAGGCTCAGTGGTTTAGACCACAGCGTCAGCCACTCACATTATATGCAAAGCAAAGGCTACTGGAATGCTAATATTTTGGGGGGAAAGAAAACTCGCCTCCCCATACACATCCTATGTATTTTCTGGCAGGAAGCCACAGACTGAATGAGAGAGCAACCCACCCACACACTCTAGTAAACTGTGTCCACCTCCCACCTCTGACTCAGTGGTTAACCACAGTATTTACAGTTAGCCATCACAAACTCTATGCACAGATTCTCTTCACCTCTACACCTGACGGTCTCTGAGTCCTGACAATCTTCAAAGCTGGAAGCAGAGCAGCCTGGGCACTCCAGACCATTGTAGAATATACCCAGCACTGCCAAAAGCAAGCGTTAGAGTCAACACATGAATCCAGACCAGATGTCTTTATTTTAATTCCTAGGCTTCAGTTGTCTAATCCTATGAGACACGTGCACTGTTTCCAACACATTCTGCTTCTGGAATCAGTCGTCCATACAATGCAGTTGAAGTGTCTGGCAACCAGCTTATGAAGAAAAGGGAGCAATTTTAGTTGCTGCTGTCCTGAGATAGACTGGAGAGACTTTATCCACACTATGGGTGAATTTCACTCTTGAGGGGAGAGGTGGACTTACTGCAGGAGGTGACAAAGAAACATCTTGGCATCAACATCTTGGCAAGATTCTTGCCAGCAGCCAGATTGCTGGACCTCACCTGCCTTGATGGTGTGTTTGAGGAAGGGGAGAGATAAGTTGAGCAGGTGGCAGACTGTCCAGCCAGCCCTTAAAGGATGACCCTGAAGGGGTGACACGACTTTGATCACAAACACCACCACACACAAACACACTTTGGCATTTTCTCTTTTGGGCACTGTTAGGGGCAGCATCCCCTGAAAGTGTTCAATAAGTGGTCAAAGGAGTGGGAAGTTGAGATTTCCCAGGTTGCAAGGCTAGGTGAGAAAAGGAAAGCTCCCAGAAGAGAACTGAGGATGGTCTGTCATTTGGGGAGACAGCTTAAGAGCTACTTTTGTACAGAGAGAAATATATTGTTTTCTCATTTTATATTTTTCTATTTTGAACCTTCCTGGGATGGAGGGCAATATACAGATTAAATAAACAAGGAACAAATAATATGCTCTTTGTTTACTGTTTTGGGACTTCAAGTATGAATATTTTTCCCCTCTCTCCCCCCTCTTTCATATTGTTGATAAACAAGTGTTATTATTAATAGTTGCATCTGAGATGAATAGATAATATTTTTTCTTTTTTTGATTGGGATGAGTTGTGGAGATTATTACTGGACTGTCAAATTGAATAAGCTGAAATGGATGCTCTTTATGTGCTATATATTATGTACTATATTTCATGATGTATTGTTACACATGACTTAATACTATGATTATATTCATTATATTATGAATATAATGTTATGTAGGTATAGAGTGGTACCTCGGGTTACAAACACCTCGGGTTTAAAACACTTCAGGTTACAGACTCTGCTAACCCAGAAGTAGTACCTCGGTTTAAGAACTTTGCCTGAGGATGAGAACAGAAATCGTGCATTGGCGGAGAGAGGCCCCATTAGCTAAAGTGGTACCTCAGGTTAAGAACAGTTTCAGGTTAAGAATGGACCTCCAGAAAGAATTAAGTTCGTAACCAGAGGTACCACTGTAGTATGTTGTTTACTTTGTTACTGTGTTGTAAACTGACCTGTGACCTATTGATGAGGGGCTGTATATAAATTTCTCAAATAAATAAATTTTGTTTTCATGTTGTATTTATTATATTTATATACCACTCAATACATAAAACAGTCCCTAAGTGGTTTACAAAATCTCTCTCTCTCTCTCTCTCTCTCTCTCTCTCTCTCTCTCTCTCTCTCTCTCTCTCTCTCTGTGTGTGTGTGTGTGTGTATGTGTCTGTTTTTAAGAGAACCCTGGGAAGCTAAGTCCAGCCGAATTTGCACAAAAACACTGTTTACTTTTCCATCCCAGCGGTACCTATTTATCTACTTTCACTGGTGTGCTTTCTAACTGCTAGGTTAGCAAGAGCTGGGATAAAGCAACGGGAGCTGATCCCATCACAGGGATTTGAACTGTTGACCTTACAATTGGCAAGCCCAAGAGGCTCAGTGGTTTAGACCACAGCACCATCTGTATCACTCCATATATATATATATATATATATATATATATGAATGAAACTGAGTAACCACAATAAAATAAAATGCAGTTTTCAATATAACTACAATACATTGCAATAATATCTTTTTTTTAAAAAAAAGAGCAACACATTTTGAAATATCTTTAGAGTCAGGGATCCCTTCTTTCATGGACTAAACACTACACACCACAGTCAAATCCTGCCTTACATCTGCACAAATGATAATATTTAATATGACTCATCCCAGTCTGTTCAGCTAATACATACAAAACACATCATGCACCCAGTCACTCCAGTATCTCTATCTCAATCAGTCACCAACCACTAACCCCACTCACTCCTTCCCCTCAGGAAAAAAAAGTATGGATGACAGCTAATGGATTGAGGCTGAATGTCAACAAGATAGAAGTGCTGTTTCTGGGGGACAGAGGGTGGGCATGTGGGGGGGGGCTTCCTGGTCCTAAATGGAGTAACTATGCCCCTGAAGGACCAGGTGCACAGCCTGGGAGTTATTCTGGACTTATAGCTGTCCATGGAGGAACAAGTTAATTCCGTGTTCAGGGCAGCTATTTACCAGTTCCTTCTGGTACACAAGCTGAGACCCTACTTGCCTGTGCACTGTCCTGCCAGCGGGGTGCATGTTCTGGTTATCTCCCACTTGGACTATGGCAGCACACTCTATGTGAGGCTGCCAGATTGGTGACTGGGAGCAGCCGCCGGAACCACATAACACTGGCTCCCAGTACCTTTCTGGGCATAATTCAAAGTGTTGGTGCTGGCCTTTAAAGCTATAAACAGCCACAATCCAGTATACCTGAAGAAGCATCTCTACCTCCATCATTCAGCCTGGACACTGAGGTTCAGTTCCAAGGGCTTTCTGGTGGCTCCTTCACTGCAATAAGTGAGGTTGCGGGGTAGTAGGCAGAGGGGCCTTCTTGGTAGTGGCCCTCCAGCTGTTTTGGGACTACAACTCCCATCATCCCTAGCTAACAGGACCAGTGGTCAGGGATGATGGGAGTTGTAGTCACAAAATAGCTGGAAGGCCAAGTTTGGCCATGCCTGGGCCATTAGTACCAACAGATGCTTCCCCTCACTTCCTCTTTAGATTGGCCCAACAGGGTAACGCTCAGGGTCAGCACGGCTATCAGGGAACAAGAAGGACATGTGTTCTTATCTCTCTCTCTAATCCCCCAATTTATCCAGGTTTTTCTATTCACATCCTTAGGGGCCATCTGAAGCTCTGGGCTAATCAGTTGTTGACACAGGCTGCCTGTTTTCAAGAAACATGTGGTGAGGCTGATTCTAACCACCTCCCATGCAAACTAGGAAAAATAATCTTGGCCTAGATCAGTATCTTTAGTTTATTCTATGGGTACCCAAGGATGAAACCTGAAACCAGAATGATGTTCTTTCTCAGGGGTAAAGGTAAAGGGACCCTTGACCATTAGGTCCAGTCGCGAACAACTTTGGGGTTGTGGCGCTCATCTCGCTTTACAGGCCGAGGGAACCGGCATTTGTCCGCTTCCACAGACAGTTTTTCTGGGTCATGTGGCCAGCATGACTAAGCCGCTTCTGGGGAAGATTCAAAAGCCTGCAGATATTTACCTGGCATGCTTTGGTTATTGCAGTAACTATCCTGACAGCAGTGGGTTGTACGGTAGAAAGAAGCATCATTTAGTGTAGTAAAGCTGTAATTCCCTGAGGTGCAATTTGTAGTGCATCCCCATAGAAATCTGTCTTCTGTATAGTCACCTGTGTGAGAGACAAAGAAAGAAATAGGTACAATTCAAAACCAAAATTTTTCAAATCAACCCCCTAATAATTGAAATTTATATGATGCTTCCTAATATACATATTGATGCAACAATGCAAAGTGTGTGTGTGTAGTTTCTCTGGTTATGTTCGAAACAAGAGGATGAACAAGCCAGTAGTAGGACCTCTGCTTGGAGAGGTCAGATAAATGTTGCTGAGTGACAACATCTTTACCCAAAAGAAAAACGACGCCCAACCTGCTGATAACATAATAAAGGATGTCAGGAGGGAGCTGTAGCCCAAAAAGACATGGTAAGAGAACACCTAGCTGTTTTAAAGCAATTCCAATCTCCAGTGTCCAATGAGCTGCACCCAATGATACTAAAGGAGTTTGTGGATGTAATAAAATTACAATTAAGAATCACCTAGTATATTACACTCTTTGCTTAAAACAGGCGGGTTAGTTATGGACCGAGAACTCCCAGAAGTGCAAGCTGGATTTCGAAGGGGCAGAGGAACCAGAGACCAAATTGTGAACATGCGCTGGATTATGGAGAAAGCTAGAGAGTTCCAGAAAGACATCTACTTCTGCTTCATTGACTATACAAAAGCCTTTGACTGTGTTGACCACAGCAAACTATGGCAAGTTCTTAAAGAAATGGGAGTGCCTGGTCACCTCATCTGTCTCCTGAGAAATCTCTATGTGGGACAAGAAGCTACAGTTAGAACTGGATATGGAACAACTGATTGGTTCAAAATTGGGAAAGTGGGAAAGGAGTACGGCAAGGCTGTATATTGTCTCCCTGCCTATTCAACTTATATGCAGAATTCATCATGCGAAAGGCTGGGCTGGATGAATCCCAAGCCGGAATTAAGATCGCCGGAAGAAATATCAACAACCTCAGATATGCAGATGACACAACTTTGATGGCAGAAAGTGAGGAAGAATTAAAGAACCTTTTATTGAGGGTGAAAGAGGAGAGCGCAAAATATGTTCTGAAGCTCAACATCAAAAAAACGAAGATCATGGCCACTGGTCCATCACCTCCTGGCAAATAGAAGGGGAAGAAATGGAGGCAGTGAGAGATTTTACTTTCTTGGGCTCCCTGATTACTGCAGATGGTGACAGCAGTCACGAAATTAAAAGACGCCTGCTCCTTGGGAGAAAGGCGATGGCAAACCTAGACAGCATCTTAAAAAGCAGAGACATCACCTTGCCAACAAAGGTCCGTATAGTTAAAGCTATGGTTTTCCCAGTAGTGATGTATGGAAGTGAGAGCTGGACCATAAAGAAGGCTGATCGCCGAAGAATTGATGCTTTTGAATTATGGTGCTGGAGGAGACTCTTGAGAGTCCCATGGAGTGCAAGAAGATCAAACACATCCATTCTTAAGGAAATTAGCCCTGAGTGCTCACTTGAAGGACAGATCGTGAAGCTGAGGCTCCAATACTTTGGCCACCTCATGAGAAGAGAAGACTCCCTGGAAAAGACCCTGATGTTGGGAAAGATGGAGAAGGGGACGACAGAGGACGAGATGGTTGGATAGTGTTCTCGAAGCTACCAACATGAGTTTGACCAAACTGCGGGAGGCAGTGAAAGACAGGAGTGCCTGCCGTGCTCTGGTCCATGGGGTCACGAAGAGTCGGACACGACTAAACGACTAAACAACAACAACAGTCATAGGGGGAAAGGTTTGGGGACCCTGTGGCTACAGACTCACTAGCCCAAATTTCAAACTATGGCATGACAGAGTTAATTCATTCAAATAATGATGCCCCAGAAACTTTACATTCCTGTTTTATGGTTACACTACAATATTATTTGTTGTTACAGCATTGTTACAATATTTATTGCTGAGATACAGAAAAGAAAGTTGGTTTGTCCTTTCTCTATAATGTTCTTACTTCCTGAAGAGCCCCAGCAGGTTGTATTATTTCCTGTTCTTTCCTTTTCCCTCTACTCTTTTCATTCCCTTGATCTCGCCTCAATCTGGCTCTCAAAAATTAAAAATGTTTTGCAAGTAAGCTTTTGTGGGGAAATAGACAGATAGATGATAGATGTTTGTTATTTTAAAAATAGATCCCTTGTGCCTTCAGTTGATGTTAGAGTGTACCTGTCAGAGGTTGAGGATGTGAGCTGTCACCATATTGCAGGCCTGCTTGGCAATATGGTTGATTTGTCTATGTTTTTAGAGGTTCTTGTTTTTGTCTGTAAGCCGCCATGAGTCTCGTCAGGGGGAAAGGTAGAGTGTAAATAAATATATAATAATAATAATAATTTTCAGCCTCTCCATGTAGACTTCTAAATGTTGTGGAATGTGACTTTAAAGAAGAAAGCATGAACAAGGAAATACAGGTGAGTTGCGGCAGCACACACTATGCATGAAAGCTCTACACTGAAAAAAAGAGAGCACACTCTGTGGTCATTTTGCATTCATACATGCACATCATCCCCAAATAATCCAGGGTCCACACACTCAGCTATGATTGGGCTAAAAGGTTTTACACTCACCTAAGTCATTTTCAGTAAAATCAGAAAAGCAGCTGTTCTCTCCATTAGGACAGACCTCTGAAACTCCCATTTGAAAGTAAAAAAAATTGTAACATAGATGCGGCACATCTGGAAGGAAAGCGTAGGAAACACTCATTGCCATGAGTTTCTCATTCCTTGAGAAATGACATCTACGTACGTTCACAGAGAGAAATCTTTCCTTGATCTCAGCTCTTGGATTTAAACCACTATTACCAGACATGAGGAATCTTACTTATCTCAAGATCCACTTCCAATGGTGGGGCAGAGGCTGCATGTGTCTATCTCTCTCACACACAAATATACACAGACACAGACACAGACAGATGCACAGCCTTATTCCTATTTACACACATTTCCCTGCACCTCAACACATGGTGATGAGAAGATTCAAACCTCCCTCTCACAGTCCCAATGTTGTTCTCAGTTCTTGCCATCAGCAATCATTTGAGTAGTGACTTTTAAGATAGGATTTCATAAGTCCTATCACACACTTCCATACACAGCCACATTACTGGTGCTGGTAAGTGTGCTACCAACAGCCCAACAAATAGCTGTTGGCTAGATGGGGAGGGCCTGAAGGTTATGGGAAGAAAGGTGCAGCAGGAGAGGCTTCCCCATCTACCTTCCTTCCCAAACACTGTCAATTACCAACACAGGGATGGCAGGTAGGCAACCTATTACAGGCTGCATGAGGTCTTCATGAAAAGTGTATCAATCCCAAACAGGGTAGCCAGAACAGCACAGGAAGCACAACTGTTTACCTTGAAGTCATGCTGCACCTGGGATCCCTGTGTTTTATTCCACCCACTCCCCATTTCTCCATTTGGTGTCACCAATCACTGCTTCAGGAAGAAAAAATCTGAAAGAAACTGAGAGTCCCATTGTTGAGCTAACCTCAAGAAACAGACATACTCTCTACTAGTGTAACAGCCACCTTTACAAAATTTGCTACACCATCTGAATGTGAGGTTTGTATGAGGTGCATGTCCATAATGCATGTTGGACACATTTGTGCCCCATTCTAAACTCCTAATACTCCACTCTTCTATTTACACTTGTTTTAGTCTCAATGACAAGAAATAATGACTTACTGCCTTGTGGTTGAGTTCAGTTGTATGCAGTTTGGAGCAGTCCCTTTATTCCGTTGGGCCACTGATTCCTTACGGCTGAAACTGAGTTGAGATCCTATGGGTCATTCACAAATCCTTGTGAATGACTCATAGTCTTCACTCTTTTCTAACCCTCAGAACTATGTTCTCTTGGCTCCTTTAATGCACTTCTAACCCATTATACTCAACTCAACTCATCTCCCAATTGAAAGAAAATAAACATAAAAGCAGACCTCCTTTCCAGACTTCAAAATGAGACCTGTAACTTACAACATGTATCTGAAGTTTACTGGTCTTCTCCCCTCTCCAAAATTTAGAGTCCAGATTCTCAGATCCTCCCATTCTTATCCATATTCTCAGCTCCTTTTCTCTTCCAAAAACCTATTTCAGTTTTCCCAATCTGACCGCCGCTGACAACCATCCCGATATGATTGAGAGCAGTCAGCTGAGAGTGGGGTGGGGATGCAGGGGGATGCATACCCCTAAACATTTTGTGAATCTTAGTTTGTCCTCATTGAAGGGCAGTATTTCAAAACAGTGGTACCTCCGGTTACGAATGGGATCTGTTCCGGAGGCCCGGCCGTATCCCGAAAATTTCGTAACTGGAGGTGCCCTTCTGTGCATGCGTGCGGTGTGCAGAGCGCTTCTGCGCATGTGCGCTGGGCAAAATCTTGAAGTATACACTTCCAGGTTGCTGCGTTCCCAACCCAGGGATTACGTTACCTGAAGGTAACGTAATCCGAGGGTCCACTGTATGAGTAGGAAAATGTGAGTACCCCTAAAAAAATCTTTTTAGAAAAAAAAGCACTGATTAAGAGAAACCTTCCTACTCACCAGAAGAAACTAGGATGAAGAGAAAGCACATACTCAGGAAGGCCTTCATAATGCCAGAGCTTTCAAAAGCCAAGGAGCACTTGAAACGAACCACCAGGCGACCTGTGGAAGAAGAAGCTGGCTTGGGAAAATTTATAGGCGAAGGAAAGGTGCCTGGGAGTTCCAGCAGAGAAGGAGTGGTGGGGTATTTTGGAAATACAGAGTACATACTGTTCCAGAAATTATGTTTTTCAAAATTGGAAGACAAAGCTTCCTTTGGATGCGATCTGTTTTAGGACCTCTGTGGCAGCCAGTCAGATGTATTGTATTAATCTGTTTCTACTTTTTTCTTCTTCTTTTTTGATGCCTCTTTGTTGACCTCGGCCTCTTTAGGAGGAAGGGTGGGATATCAATTCAATAAACAGTAATAATAAATCAGATGTCAAGATTTTAACAGTTTCAGGTTAAGAACGGAGTTCCGGAATGAATTGAGTACTTAACCTGAGGAACCACTGTATTGTTTTGCAGATTATGAGTTCTGTTGTGTTTTGTGAATCTTCTGACTTTTGTTCTGGTTGTGCTGTTTCGTGGGGTTTTTTAGTTGTTTTGTTAATAGTGTTTTAGAGAAGATTATTGCTTTTGTTATGTTTTGTAGTTGTTTTACTGATAATTGTCAATTATTCTGATTAATGGTCTAATTGTGATGTTCTTTTAGATTACTGTTCTTTATTGTTTGTTTGTAAGCCGCTTTGTGACTCATGTGAGTGAAAAGCAGCATAGAAATATAATAAATGAAACAAAATGAAATGTAGTTCAAAGCGTGGCTAGGCAGCCCTCAAGTACCTGCATCTTCTCTTCCAGCACGGCAACCATTTTGCAATTGCACTTTGGCTGATGCAATAGGATGCCATATCTCACAATCAGGAGTTTGAAATACAGTGAGGTACACTGTTGTCAAATGAAATTATGTACTCACTGCCTACTGGTTCATTTATATATGAGCATCTTTGTATCTCTGAAACATGAGCCAATTGGCAAATTTGTTGTTGCTTTTGTGTTCAGTACCTCAAAATTGGTAAAAAAAATTGCTATTTTCATTTCAGAGGCATTTTGTGTGTTGTGCAATAGAACACCAGGAATAACTTTTTTACAGAGCTGTCAGGAGTCACTCGGGAGGTTGTGGACTCTCCTTCCTTGGCGGTTATTAAGCAGAGTTTGGACAGCCACCTTTCACAGGTGACTTAGCAGAGATTCCTGAATTGCAGAGGGGTTGAATTAGATGGCCATCGGATCCCTACCAAGTGCATGACTACAGCATGGTCTGTGGACATCCCTACTGTCAACGACTTCTGGTCATGATGGCTTCATTCCCTACATTACGACTACTCTGCTCATGCCTTATTTTCTGTACTTTCCAACAGACATTTGGTTAGGAGCTCTGAGAACAAAATGCTGGACTAAATGGGCTTTTGGTCAGATCCAAAAGGATCATCTTATGTCCCTGAATCATGACTCCCACAGTAGGTCCCCAGAGTTCTGTCAAACAATAATAATCTGCACTTGTCGCCTAGCGTTTTCCCAGCAACAGACATTCATAGCAATACTGACTTCAAAGATGGAGGTGGAACCCTGCCATTGGGGATAGAAGTCATTGGGGTTAGAAGTCTGAGAGCATTGACTAGCACAACCAAGGTGGTTTTAGTCCCATGATTGAATGAAAGCACATTTGATTTGAACATCTTTGTTCTACAATACTGATAAGGAGAATGAATTCACATCAAAACATCCTTTTATATTTAAATGCAGATCAGATCATCACAAAACATTTGCATTAGTAAAGATAGATATAGATATAGATATAGATATAGATATAGATCTAGATCTAGATCTAGATCTAGATCTAGATCTAGATCTAGATCTAGATCTAGATATAGATATAGATATAGATATAGATATAGATATAGATATAGATATAGATATAGATGATAGAGAGATTGATAAACTTACTATGTACTTTAGAAAAAGAACCTTTCTGGCTGTTTTGTGAAACCTTTGGAATCACAGCATGAAAACTAATTGTTCTGGCAATGTTAGATTCAATACTTTACCTTTCCAAATCCACAAGATATTCCTGAGACATTGTAAGCCTTAAATAATTCTTAATTGACTTAGGTTTGCTAAATGACCTCTCTGCAGAAGCTACTGTTCCTGGAAATCCTTTCAATTAGGGCTGGAACTGAAAAGTGGTACACAGGTTGAATTGTTCAAAAAAATAAAAAAAGGTAGTTGCTTCAGGTAGGCATTCAACAACATCTTTTCCACATCAGTTGAATGTGTGACAACAGCAAGGTGAAGAAAAAGATGTTGAGCATTCTTCTTGAATGTTTCCTTGTGCACCATTGTATTTTGCAGTCATTTTTGCCCCATTATTGTAGGCTTGAGCTTGAGCATGTTTCATTTAATGTTTCATTTAATGTTATGAAATGAGCAATTTATTCCCCTTTTGTTGCTACAACCTGCCAACTTGAGAAATCTTTCTTGAATCTCATACTTTATTTCTTTAAAAAGTATGTATCTAAAAAGAAATGTTGCTTGTTCAATATGGGAACAATCTGGTGTGGAATCTACTCTTATTGCAAAGTACTTTGCAGATGCCTCTTGAGCAAAATGTGTTGTTTCAAAAGATTCAAGCATTCAGCAATAAATTCATTTTGGGAATCAGGGCACAGAAAATGAACTTGAGGTCGCTCACTCCTTTTATCTGTGTGTGTGTATATATATATATATATATATAATTTTTTTTTATTAAGTTTCCATTTTATAACATTTAAATACATCCTTGTTTTTCACAATAGCTTTTGCTCTTATGAGGCTGTTCAACTTCCCTCCCTCCTGCGTCATGGTTACCATATTTCTGTTCTATGTCATAGCATTTGTATCTTTTCCTACTTAAAGGTAAAGGGACCCCTGACCATTAGGTCCACTCGTGACCGACTCTGGGGTTGTGGCGCTCATCTCACTTTATTGGCCCAGGGAGCCAGCGTACATGTGGCCAGCATGACTAAGCCGCTTCTGGCGAACCAGAGCAGTGCAAGGAAAGGCAGTTTACCTTCCCGCCGGAGCGGTACCTATTTATCTACAGTGGTACCTCGAGTTACAAATGCTTCAGGTTACATACGCTTCTGGTTACAGACTCCACTAACCCAGAAATAGTACCTCGGGTTAAGAACTTTGCTTCAGGATGAGAACAGAAATCGTGCTCCAGTGATGCGGCAGCAGTGGGAGGCCCCATTAGCTAAAGTGGTGCTTCAGGTTAAGAACAGTTTCAGGTTAAGAACGGACCCCTGGAACAAATTAAGTACTTAACCCAAGGTACCACTGTACTTGCACTTTGACGTGCTTTCGAACTGCTCAGTTGGCAGGAGCAGGGGCCGAGCAATGGGAGCTCACCCTGTCGCGGGGATTCAAACCACCGACCTTCTGATCGGCAAGTCCTAGGCTCTGTGGTTTAACCCACAGCACCATCTTTCTTCAATTCAATTGTCAAATTTTAAAATAAATATAAGAAGATATAATTCATAATCATTACAAGTATTTTTAAATGAGTCCTGCAAGTGTTGTTAATTGTTTCCAATTGTCCTTCAAATATTGTACAAATTTACCCGTCTTTTTGGAAAGCTTAATCGCGCTGGTTTCGGATTTTCCCAGTCAGCTTCACCAATTCTGAATATTCCATCATCTTTGTCTGCCACTCTTCAATCGTTGGTAATTCCTGTTGTTTCCATTTTGGGGCTAAAGAGTCCTTGCTGCCATAGTTGCATACATAAACAGTATTTGATCTTTCTTTGGGATTCCTTCACCTAATATACCCAACAGAAACTTTACAGCTTTTTAAACAAATGTACACTTGTACAATTTCTTTAACTCATTATATATCATTTCTAAGATGATGTCAGCTCCTGTCCAAGACAGCAGGCATCTTTCTAGTTCTCACCAAACTAGGTATTATTCTCTTTGACTTTTCCTTTTGGTGTGTGATGTTCTGTTGTGCCGCTTTTGTTGTGTTGTTGTATATTATGTTGGAAACCACCCAGAGTGGCTGGGGCAACCCAGTCAGATGGGTCAGGTATAAGTTGTTGTTGCTGCTGCTCCCATTTAAAGGTTTGGGGATCCTATGAGAAAGTTTCCACCACTTTCTATTAAAATCCCAGCCTTCAGCAGATACCAGTGCAGAGTTAGACACAGAAGTGCTAATGTTGACTGCTTTGCGCCAAAATAATTGTCATGGAAAGCAATATAAAGCGTCTTTCTGTTGACTCCAGACAAGACAATCTTGTACATGTGCTTCTCCATTAGTGCCCTGAAATTTTCAGAATGCTTTCTGGGAAAATTTGATTGCAAGTATCTTTTGGGAATGTTTTAGGCTGAGGGATGAGACTCTTTGTGATATACTTTTCTATTTGCTTTTGAGATGGAAACTCAGTTGTGATACATCCTGTGCAAAGGTGGATCTAGGGGAGCATGTCTGGTACAGTTACATCAGATGCAGAGCTTCTGGGGTGCTGCAACAGGTGCCCCAATGGAAGGCAAGAGACAGGGGGTGCTGTGTTTTGGCACTGCCACTGAAATTTGAGGTGCCAAGGCCTTCATTGTGATTACTCCTCTCACCTTTTTAATTCACTTCCACATGTGTCTGTATGTCTGTTTCTTTGTCAGTCTCATTTTCTGCATCTGCCCCTCTATCAAAATACTGTGCAAGGTTACCCAGATCAGCAGCTCCTTGTTTGGTGATAAGGTTTCCAACAGTTTCTTCTTGCTCCAATTCCATATTTGAGTATACTGATGATTTTTTTTAAAAGCTGCAGTTAATACAACCAGAAAGAGCATTTGTTGGCCCATTTTTTTTCACTTTTTGCAATATAAATTTCTATTTCCTTTGGAGATAGACACTTGGTTGTGATACAGCCAGTGGCAAGGTCTACTTTATGATTCCTCTCCTTACCTTCCAAATTCAGTTCCATATGTCAGGCATGTCCAACTTCACGTAGGCTGTGATCTACTATCCAGTATCAAAAACTGGCAGTGATCTACCACACTTTCACATTGTCATACTTCAGTTTCTTTGCTTTAGAGGCAATTTATAAGGCATTGTTGGTGGCAAGGAAAAACCCCTTTCTTTCCTTAGCGCGGATTTATTTCATCGCCTTCTTCCATGCATTGCCTAAAATGAAGATGACTGCTGATTAAGCCACAGAATGCTCTGCATGGAGAAGGAAGGAAAGGCGCTCTCCTTTTAGCCAACCTTGTCCCAAATGCAGAACATCAGCACCCTCGCACCCCACTTTAGTTTGCTCCTGAGGCGGACTGCTGCATGCTCTCCCCATACGAGCGAGGCCCTGAAGCACCCAGTAAGGGCTTCCCAGCCAAGAGAGGCTTCCATAGCTAAGCAAAGCTCTGGTGCTCACAGGACAGGAAAAGCGGAGGCGCAGCTCTCTCCCTTCCCTCGCAAGCCCCATCCAGCCTGCTGGTGCACGCTCTGCAGCTAATGGGAGGCGAAAGCAGAGATCAAACTCTATTCCTCCTGCAGCTGCCTTGTAAGCCCATGGGACGGCGAGAGCCCCAGCTGTGAGAGAGGAGCAAAGTCTGCCTAGCCATAGTGCAATAGACCAAAATCCATCCAGCAATCGACCGGTCGACCGTGATCGATGTGTTGGATATGTCATTTGTCTGTATGTCTCACATACTCAGTAAACCACACAGTTCAAGTTGGAATTAACTCTTTATTAGCAAAAACATGATCTTCACAGACTTCACTGTGTGTCAGACCAGTGAGCACAGCAACTCATTCCCTTTGGGTCATACTCCATGAAATCAGTTGCTGAGAGTAAAGATCCCTGACTCCCCACACCTGTCTTTGTCTCCTACTTTCCAGGGTTTTTTCCAAGCAATCAGAGACTTCCATCCTTTTCATCCCTCTTCTGGTTCTTGTGGGGAGGAGGAAGAGGAACTTGTCACAACAGGAGGGGGAGACACCCATGACTCTCCAACAGCCAGGCTCATCTTGCCCTTTGACCTCCCTCCTCCCACTTGCCAGCTTCAGCTTCTGATTCTAGACTTCTTTCTGCCATAGAATCTCCCAGCTGACTAAGAAGCTACCTCCTCTTCCCAGTCTTCTCCCTCTGACTTATGTGGGAATGCAGGGGCTGCATTTGACCCCAAGGACACAGGTTATTCACCCCTGGTACAGATTACAAAAGGGCACCATAGTATCTCAATTTTTTGTATCTCTTTTAGCTTCGCTTACTCAGCCTAATGAGCAGCTTGTTTATTTTAGAAAAAATTATGAAACCACATTTTTTCAGCAAGTACATTATTTCTTCAGCAGGTACACTGGATGACTCTGAGGCAATTAAAATTTGGCTGATGTTAGATTCCCCACGAGCTTCAGTTGGCCAGAGCTTACATCAACCTGCTGAACCAGGTCAGCTGTTCCAGAACCCCGTTGTCGCAATGGCCAACCAGAGGCCTGTGCAAAGCCTGAAAGCAGGACTTGACAGCAACACCACTCTCCCCACTTGTTATTCCCAGCAACAGACATTTAGACAGTAGCATAGCATTAGGGACCAGGCAGCTGTGGCCTGGAGTGCAAATTTCTGAGGGAGTGCAACAAAGGCATCCCCACAGCAGGCTATTGAGGTCACAGGTGCAGGGAGGCAAGCCACATCTGGGCTGGACCTTCAGGGCTGGGGCAGTGGTGTCACCTCCTCCTTGTGACCAGTGAAGGGATGCCTGCACGTGATTTTATTGCTGTGGTGTTTTTTGTTTTTTGTTTTGGTAAACAACTTTGCAGTTTTTTTAAAAAAATAAAGTTTATTAAATAAATAAACAATAAATATAAATAAAATAACACAAGCCAAAACACAATCCATCCTGTAGATTTAAGTATCTGTCCACAGTCGCCTACTTGTTATCAGAGGCCCAGAATCCACATCTGTAAGAAAATATGAAATAAGCAAAATAAATAAATAAATGTGGGTGTGTGGCGTGTGTGACAATAAATTTTCCGTACCACTGGGTACCACCTAACCTTCCTAAGCCTCTGACTAGAACTCAATGACATCTAATGAAGCTACTATAGAACAGGGATATGAGCTTGAAAAAAATATTGGGGGTGCCCACAGGGGGGGCTGTTTTAATCCAAGGCTGTTGATACAGGCAAAACAAGACCCTTTCAAAGAATTAATGCTGTGGTTAGGCTCAGGTTGTAATGATAAACCATCCATCATAAAGTGGTTTGTCTGCTTTTCCTCATTCCCAAAGGTAACACACACCCTGCTTAAACACCTGGAACCCCTAAACTCTCACACTGCTCAGAGATTGGGGTGGTGTTCAACAATATAATAATATTATTACAGCAGTGGGCACCGGTGCCAGAGACAATGTCACAATGAGTATGGACTGCCTGTTTTCCTAGGATTCTAAGGCCTTTAAAGCACGCAGTTGAAATCCCTTGCTGGAACTTTATTCACATGTCCCCCTGTTGCATCACAGTACTAGCAAGAGTAGAATGGATTGTACCTTTGCTCTGTCATCTGATCTATTTTGACAACACTTACCTAAGGCCATGTCAACTTGGGCCTCAACACCCACACCCACACCAACCTCATCCTTCAGAATGAGCCTCATCCCCCACTCTATTTATCTGAGACATTCTCTGGGTTCTTGCTCTCTCTCTTGGCTTCTGGGGAGAATTAAATTCATAGTAAGTGGGCATAACTTGACAGCCATGCAACCTCATCACTCGAGTGATAAGCTATTATTATTATTATTATTATTATTATTATTTATTTATTTATTAGGCTGGCACACATTAGGGGGGACGTGTCCTTGGAGTTCTTGGGAGGGGGAAGAGATTTAATTTGTTTTCAGTGCTTTGCTTTAAATTCTGCTATGGTGCTATTAGAATTCTAGCAATTTGTGAGACTGTGCTGAACCTCTTGTTCCTGGGTGCTGGCAAAGTGCTCCTTGTCGTGGCCTATACTTTCCTCCAACTAAGCCTCTTCATGCTTCCCTGTTTGGCCCACTGCTCTTCCTGACTCTTCAGCTTTCTAGAATGATTAAGACACTCCTGACCACCTGACTCCTCTTGGTCCAGCTTCCTCCAGGAAAGAGCCTTGGAAGACTAGACATGTTATGGGTATCAAAGTCCATAGTATTTGGTTTTAAGAACACTGAAATACAACTGAGAACTTTATCAGATCAAAATTTGATATTTAGTATTATTAAAGGCCAGCAAAATACCACTTTTAGATGGAAGCTGAATGACAGCTTGTTAGAAAGACTGGGATAATGCAAAAGGGATTTTAATGTTTAACTGACTTCTTTGAGTTAAATACAGTCATATCTTGTGTTGTGTTAGGTTCATGTTGTGCCTTTTCAGGTTGCGAACGTGGCAAACCCGGAAGTGTATGATTCCAGGTTTCACCGCGCGTCCATGCGTAGAAACGTTCTGCGCGCTTTGCACATGCGCATAACCCTCTATCGCACCGTGCGTGCGCACAGAAGCGGCACTCTAGTTACGGACTTTTTGGGGTGTGAACGGCACCCCAGAACGGATTGAGTCTGTAACTAGAGGTACCACTGTATAGAGAATTGTACAGATTTAAATACAGTATGGGATGCTAGGAATATGATTATTAGAGGCTCCTTCATATAGCAAACTGCTTACCAAAAAAGGTGAAAGATCAAAAGACATATTAAAAGAAATAGAAACTGTAAAAAGTCTTTGATTGACAAGCCCGATGATAATAAAATGTTACAAACTATTAGACTATCATTGTTATTAAACCAGGAGATGGAACAAACGTTAAAATGTTTTAAGCAGAAGCACTTCAAAATTGACACTTCTATAATGATGTCAACTCCTGTCCAAGACAGCAGGCATCATTCTAGTTCTGGGAATGTTTTAGGCAGAGAGATGAGACTGTTCATAATATACTTTTCTATTTGCTTTTGAGATGGATACTTGGTTGTGATACATTCAGTGCAAAGATGGATCTAGGGGAGCACAACTGGTGCGGTTGCATCAGGTGTGGAGATTCTGGGGTGGCTGCAGCAGATGCTGCAACTATGACATGCAACAAAAGGTGAGAGATGGGAGGGCAGATTTTGGTGCACAGGGTGCCACTGAAATTTGAGGTGCCAAGGTTAACCACTGTCAAGTTTCAAGGCCTACATTATGATTACTCCTCTCTCCTTCCAAATTTGCTTCCCCATCAGTCTGTTTCTTTCTGTTTTCCATTCTCATGTTCTGCATCTGCCCCTTCATCAAAATACTGTGTATGATTACCCAAATCAACAGCTCCTTGTTTGGGAATGAGGTTTTCCACAGGATTATCTTGCTGCAGTCCTACAGGTAAGTGAAAAATAAAACAAAATCCAAATTGAAAGAGCCTTTGTTGACCCCTTTTTCATTTTCCCTTTCTTGTCTTTTCTTGTCTCCTGATCTGTGATAGAATTTGGAGGGGAGATTTATAAATTAATGGGGTTTTTTATATCTGCAGAAAGGGAGAGAGGAAAACAAGACAAAAAATATTATATACTAATAATTGTGTAGAAGATGAAGTTGTGGCAGCAGTGGTAGGCTAGTAGTAGGCGGACGCACGTTGGCAAAAGGAGAAGGGGGTAGGGGAAGAATTGTTGTGGCATTTTATACAAGCGTTCCCCCACTTTTGCATGATTGACAAGCGTGACTGTGTATGCTTGCAGCACTGGAAAATAAGTAAATAAAAACACAGAATACCAGGAAATGATGGGAGAAAGCAGGAGAGTCCCCGTGGCTTGGGAGGAGACCCTCCCCAGAACCGGAAGTGGACTTCAATGAGGGTGGATGAAGCCCCAAGGAGAGCGGAGGTGCAATGGGGCTTTATTTAGGCTGCTCCACCTCCCTTCCTAGCAGGTGACACACATGGTATTGCAGCTGCTGCTGCTGCTGCTGCTGCTGCTGCTTTTGCACACGTCCTCCAACCTCCAGGCATCCCAGAGCTTCAGCTCTAGATATTTTGGTTTGAACTGGGGAGAGAGTTTGAGTGGGGGGAGGGCCTGTATAGGCTTACACAAAATGTAAATGCTACTCTTCACACAATAGAGGATAACTTTTTCTGATATCCCAATATTCTGACTCCTCTCGTTTGGCTCCAAGGTCCCCTTTCTGGCCTTAGGCAGGGGTGTGATGTACCACCTGCAACCCCCTCTCCTGAGTGCTGTGGAGAGGCATCCAGGGGCTGCATTTGGCCCCCAGGACACAGGTTATCCACCCCTAGCCTCTCCATTCTTTCTTTCTCTCTTCAGTCCTGAGCTGAAAATAGTTCCTGGCAGAGCTTCCGGGACGCCGCGGCCACGGGAAGGAGCACGAGGCTGCCCTCCGGGGGGGTCTCGAACAACACGGTGTTCTAGAGGGGTCACGAAGGCTCCGTGAACCCCAAAACCTCAGGAGGATTATTCTGGGGGACAGAGTACCCTGCGACGCTGCTTGTGCTCGCCTGTGTTGTTGGCGTTTTACAGGGCTGGAGCTGCAGCATTAAGGGGAAGCAACAGACTCCTTGTTGTGAAGCCTCAGGCTCCGCTTGAAAAGCGGTGAACCTCCGACAACAGCCAAAAAGCTGGGAAATAGCTAAAGTAAATAAGCTGCTAACAGACAGAAAGCTTAACTAAAGAACCCAGC